CCGGTTACATGCTGAGAGTTATTGTTAGAAGCCAGTTGCACAGTGATATGCAAGTACCGGCAGTGTGGTTAGCTACCAGCTGTCAGAGTAACTACATTCTGAGCGCTAGGAAGAGGATCTACTCATGGGAGCAATGACTGACGAGTCTGTGCCTCGCCAATGATTAGAAGGCTAGCCAGAGTGAAGCTCTGAGTGCTCAGCGATCCTCCACATCCTCTGAGCATTGGAAGTCCGCCAGCAGTGGAAGAGACTATGCCTGGGAAGTCTACAATAAGCGGAAGCTCTACAGCAATGATTAAGCTTACACCTGAGCGGCAGCTCATTCATGCAGGCCCCTAGTTGTGTGGCAACAAAGGCTGCAGGTGTTACAAAGGCTTTGACTAAGGGTGGTTGCCTTCGGAATCGGAAGCACTCGCTGACGCTTAGAGAGAAGCGGGGTAGCGATGGTATTGCTTCCCTTCCACTAGGAGGCAGCACCGGAACTTAGTAAGGAAGTAGGAGCAGAGAATAGAATCCTTTGGAGTATAAGTACTCAGGATCATTCCCGCCCAACTGACCTGATCCTCATCTTCGAGTAGACCATTTTTATTGGTAACAGAGCCCTTAAAGATTATTGAGTTCTAGCGATAGTATCTTTGAATAAATCTGCACCTGATTTCTATCTTGCACGGCCGCATCTATTCTATTGGATTCTAGCGATACATAGATAGGCTGCCCCCGTTACACGTCTTCTATAAGGAAAAGTGGTACATTCCAAATCATCGAGAACTGGAGCTCAAGATCCTGAGCGCCCTACATGATTCGAAGACTGCTGGTCACTTTGAACAATTCAAAAACGGCAGAACGCCTTCAGGCACTCTCCTTTGGCTAAAGATGGACAACAATGTGGAAGAATACGTTCGGAGTTGCGATACATGTCAACGCGTTAAGGCCTCAACACACAAGAAGTATGGGACGTTACAATCTTTAGAGGTCCCCTCTATGCCTTGGAGCTCCATTTCAATGGACTTTATCGCGAGCCTGACTGAATCTGAGGGCTATACCCATATCTGGGTTATCGTTGACCGTTTTCACCAAAATGTCCCAATTCATTCCGCTCGAGACCAAAGCAACCATTCAACAGCTTGCTCAAACCTTCCTATGCGAGATATGCCGACTGCATGAATTTCCTGAGGAAATTATCTCCGATCAGGATTCTAGATTTGGAAGAGATCGTCCTCAAACTGACGGACAAACTGAGAGAGTCAACCAAATGCTAGAACAATATCTCAGAAACTATTGCTTCTATCAGCAGGACGATGGGGCAAGAATACTCCCACTTGCGAGTAAGCCTACAACACGGCCACCCAAGAGTCAACCAAAGTATCGCCGTTCTACGCGAACTATGGGTTTCAACCAGATTCCACTTGGCCCTCACCTAAACGGAAACTACAAAACTTCGACGCGCCCAGCGCGGCGCAAGCACAGCGGAAGAAATGGTATGATCAGAAACATATGAGTGCTCCAGAACTGAAGGTCAGGGACGAGGTGATGATGGACCGACACAACATCTTAACCAAGCGATCATCAAATTAACTAGATTACTAAAATCGGGTCCCTTTGAGGTTGTCGGGAAACTTGGTGTCACGTCCTACAGGCTGAATCTATCCTCTCAGTGGAACATTCATGATGTCTTCCATATATCTCTGCTGGAACCGTATTGGGAGTCAAAGGACCCTCAACGAGCTATAGCGATTCCACCTCCGGATGAGGTTCAAGGCTGATCGTGGGGGAGATGTTCGTGCAATATCGGATTACCTGGGAGAGCTATCGCTTAGAAGACTTCCGGGAACCGTACAAAATGTTGCAAGGAACGGCAGACGAGACACTCCGAGAGTTCCATCCGAAGTATCCCGGAAAATCACGGGACTCATGGGTGAAACTTTAGAAATCCTCAAAATACGGCGTTTTTTCCCATCGGTCTGACAGTGTTCGGATGCCGTTGTTTCCCTGGGAAGTAATACAGGAAAGTGAAGGAAACCGATGCACCGGAGTGTTCTGGGACAAGCGTGGAGAAAACGGGTCTCCCTTTGTTGGGATACACGTTTTTCACTTGAGGTTTTCCTTTGTTAATAGAAATGGATGTGGAAAATAGAGTGTAACGGAGCCATTTCAACTGTCTGGTGTATGAGTACACACAGGGCCCGGTTACATGCTGAGAGTTATTGATAGAAGCCAGTTGCACAGTGACATGCAAGTACCGGCAGTGTGGTTAGCTACCAGCTGTCAGAGTAACTACATTCTGAGCGCTAGGAAGAGGATCTATTCATGGGAGCAATGACTGACGAGTCTATGCCTCGCCAATGATTAGAAGGCCGGCCAGAGTGAAGCTCTGAGTGCTCAGCGATCCTCTACATCCTCCGAGCATGATAAGTCCGCCCGTAGTGGCAGGGACTATGCCTGGGAAAGTCTACAATAAGTGAAGAGCTCTACAGCAATGATTAAGCTTACGCGTGAGCGGTAGCTCATTCATGCAGGTCCCGGTTGTGCGACAACCAAGACTGCAGGTGTTACAAAGGCTTTGACTAAGGGTGGTTGCCTTTGGAACAGGAAGCACCCGCTAACACTTAGAGAGAAGCGGGGTAGCGGTGGTAGTGCTTCCCTTCCACTTGAAGGAATCACCAGAACTTAGTAAGGAGGTAGGAGCAGAGAATGGAATCCTTTGGAGTATAAGTACTCAGGATCCTTCTCGCCCAACTATCCGATTTTCTGATTTTCCATCTTGCACGGCCACACCTTTTCTACCGGATCCTAGCGATACGTGGAAAGGCTGTCCCCGGTACATAAAGTCAGTATGGAATCGTTATTAGAGCTACATTTTCTTGTATGCGCATAATGTACCATACCAAAAAACCCTAGGTTGGACTCGGGACGAGTCTACCGGAGAGGGGGGTAGTGTAACAGAGCCACAGTAGGGCTGTTACAAAAGTAACTGTTCTACCAGTCAAGCCATACGACCCTAGGGTAATCACCACTTGTTCTTCATCGATGGGTGAATATAAGGGCAGATGACCCCTACCTCTATTGGTATGAAGGGTAGGGATCCTGGCGAGCAAGAAGTCTTATAAGTCAAGCTAGGCGACTGGACCAAAACTAGAGCAGAAGGACGAGCATGCCAAATACGGAAGGGTAACCCCAAACATAAGTTACCCTACCTTGGAAGTCAATCTTTGAGGTGCAATAACTTAGCAACCGATGCTCGGAAAATATGCTTTACCACGTCAGAAAGGATCCTGACGATGCTCCGGTCCATTTGGGGTGGTTGAATGAACGGATTGCGGAGTTGAGGAAACACTGCAAAATAAACACGTTTTAGACCCCAAAAATAACCCCCGGAGCGTCGAACCGCCGGAACCCTCCTGTTTCAGCCTGGAGCACCTTTGAGGGGGAGTAGGAGTACGACCCAAGCTACTAAAAGCAAACCTCGCTTTACAAAAACACCAAATCTGTTCTAAAACAAATTGAATAAGCAATTGCTATCTGGTCGGGTGTTTCCGCTAGTTCTTCGGATCCCGACCAGCTCTTGGCAGAGATTGCGTGATTTGATTCGGGCGGAAGTTCGTCCGAGATGTGGCAGCAACTCCTCTCGCCTCTCATAGAAAAAGTCGCAGTGTCCCCGGACTACGGGAAAAACAAAAAACGGTCTAGGGAGAAAAAGCGGGAAAAAAGGGGCGGAACTTCGATAAAAGTACTCGGTTGCCCCCAGTTTGAACTCGGGGAGTCATGGAATCTTTACTAGCGAGGAGACCCCTTAAAGTTATTAAGTTTTTAGACTACAAATACGATCAAACAAATAAACTTCATCTTTCGATCGAACGAGCCCAATGAATCCATCGTTGCCCGTTTACCCTTTCTATGTCAGATCGAAGTCACGGTCGTGTATCATCCCAGCACCCCCATTACAGCTTATCATTTGTCTTTGCTTTGGGCTTATTCTCAACTCTTTGCTTGTATTGTCGGTGCATTTCCTCCCCAATTTCCTTGTCAGTGATGGCACCTTGGAGACCTTTATTAAGCTGTGTGATAATAGCTTTTAGCCGGCGAGCACTGTCTGTATTACCCTTTAGTAGTCCCGCTGCTTGTCTAGCAAGGCTAATTGCACTTCTTGAAGTCCTGGGAGTTGCGGATACTGTCATGGGCGGGCGGAACTTTGAAAGCTCGGCGTTCTTGGCGTCCAGGGTCTTTTCCCTATCAATGACTTTGCGGGGATTGAAAGGAATGATGCCAGTCTTTCTCCATGCACTGAGGATATTGTCCTTTGTAAATGCGAGATTTCTGGCTGGAAATAAAAGCCTATATTCAATTAATATACCAATTTCCAGATAGTTAGTTGTTAGAAAACAGTTTTAATGGTACGTACTGGAGGAAGATTCCTTTATTGATTCCTGTTTCTCCCGCCTCAACTAAAAGATTCAACCCGTTACTATAATGGGTTTGTAAGGGACTGAATATGCCGACATCAAGAGGTTGTAATATATGCGTGGAGTGGGCAGGAAGACAGAGGGGTATAATCCGATTGCTCAAGCAAAAATCGAAAAATTCCCAAGTTAAGTGGCTAGTATGCCCATCTAGGATTAGGAGACGATAATCACCATTGGCTCTGTTTATAATTAGTTGCTGGATATGAGATTGGGCTTTGAAGTACGATTGATTGCTTACTGTTTAGCCGAGTTGGGTTCAAAGTCCTTGACTAGCCATTCGAAACCAAGCTTTTGGTCACTCCAACCTTTCGGGGAGTAGCCAAATACTGCTTTGTCACTATCTTTCAATGCTGCGTACCAGCCCATATAGTGACCATCACCTTTGTTTATTATCATTGGTGGTAAGGTGCGACCGTCACCACTGATAGCCTCAATGACAGTCACCCAAACTCGGCTACCGTCATGCGTCAATCGCGGATTTCTCCTCCCCTTTTTACAGATCACCTTGCAGCGTTTAGCCACACCCATCATGAAACTTTTTTCGTCCATATTGTAAGTATTTTGAGGCTGAATATTAAACTTCTTGGTCACCTCATTTAACTGTTTCCATATTGATTAGAAAGAGTTTTAAACGGGGAAATTGGACTTTTACCTTGCGAAAATAATCTTTTAACGCTTCCAGATTTGATGCATAGGCTCTCTGGCGATCTAAGCGATTGCTGTGCTTAGTCGCTACATCAGGGTTGCGATCGAGGAATCTAGTAAGCCAATGTTTTCCTAGATTTCGATGACTGGTGCGGTTTTTGACCAATACAGCCGCCATTTCCTTTACTATTGCTATGTGAGGTGGGAAGCCCCACTCATCCATCTTCAAAATCCATCGGACCATTGATTTCTCCTCTTGCTCAGTTAAAAGCTGTTGATGCCGATGACTTTCCTTTCTACTTTGGGCCCCTCCAAGTCTATCACGTAGAGTTGAGTAGGCAATTGAGTACTTCTCTGCTGTTGCCCTTATTGATGGTTCTGTACTCTTTCTGTAGTGATGAATTGCCAAAATCATCCGCTCCTCCCGCTCATCCTTCTCTCTCTGTGATAGTCGACCCATTATGCGTTGTTGTTTGGTTCTGTGATGCCTCGTACTCTTTCTACAGTGATGGGAGCTCGTTTGCTACCTCTGGCTCGGCGCCGAGCGGAATCCCTGTCATGGGCGGTTTCACGGTAAAGTACGTTACATGACTTAAATTAGCTGGCTAGCGCCAGATCAATATATTGAGGACTATGTGTACTGTGAAAGAAAATTCTAATTGTATATCGATACTATACTGCTAGCAGCTTAGCAAATCGCCAGAGATATAGAGAGATAAACCCACGATGTATGATATCAGGAATTATTTTCATTCTCGCGATCGCACATCGATCGCAAAATATATTTTCGCTATATTGCATGTAGCCTTTCTGAAAATTAGTGGAAGCATACGTGTATAATATATACATGTATATAGAGTTCCTTTAATTTATATGCACTAATTACAATGTATATACAACACGCAACATTGAAATACATATTGTATCCAACGGAACATGAATGACATGCGCGCATGCATCGGTCTAGTACATGTATGCTACATGTATATATATACTGTGAAAAAAATAAAAATATAAACCGTCGAAAAACACAACCCTTCATCCGGCGCCCTTACCATTGAACTGAGTCCATGGCCAACTATATATGGGCCCCTTAGCTGATAAACGGATTAAAAGTAAAACGAAGGCAGTAGATAAGAGGACCAGGGAGATACGCCTGGGAAACCATGAGGTGATTTTGCTTCGAATTCCCCAAGGCCTGGGTACGATGCCGTATATACGTATGGGATCGATCTCAACATTGACGACATGCGACGGGCCCTAGACTCGAGGATCGATAGGAGTGATCAATTTAAAGTTATGACTCGCGAGGGCACGGTGGCAACACATAAATGTTCGTAGTACTTCAATTAAGAAAGAAAGACGCTTGAATCCATAAAGATATCTATAAGCTAAATTATATAAAGAAAGTTATTTTTAGGTTCAAATCCTACTTTAATTACATGTGATTAAGTTATCATCATTTTTGAACCCCAGCGATGGAGAAACCAAGGTAGTATTGTCATATTCATCACAGATCTGCAAATACTTCAGACGAATTACCATATCATGATCAGTTAGGATTTCGAAATCTGGGCTGTACAGCATGAACTTGATTGCGTTATTCTTGATCGACTTATCAATTTCTATCATCTGTTTTACATTTTAGGCCGGTTGTACGTGAGATCATGTGCGTACGTCTAGCTGCAGGGGGGTCTCGAGATTTTTTTTTTTTTGTTTAATTCATTAGAGATCTCGAGACATATTTGAAGCCCAACAGCTATATCGATATAGCGTAACTACATGTACCTACATATATTGCCCACATGGCCAGCTACATGCAAATACATACACTACGCAAATATTTTAGTATCTCGCGATGTTATATAGACCAGTTGTAATAGATTAATTCCGGTCGAGATTTGTACATGTGATCACGTGGGCTGGCTGTATTTAAGTAAATACATACATTTAATTGTGGTGCACATATATAGTTTGTAGGTCAGAAGGCCGCGACCGCTCTATCATGCATGGGCCATTGGGCAAATGCAGTGAAATATGAACTTATTGGAGTACATGTGCACGTGTATGCATATTATCATTCCTGGCCTAAGAGTCTAGCCTCCAGAGCATTACAGCCAACAGCTTCGCTCACATATATGTACTTACTACCTGGCGTATACTATAGTATATAATTCCCATCATTTAATGTCATTGTTTATGTGTCCCCTAGGCCGCCAGGACTGATCTCAACTGTGTCACAATCAGAATATGTGGAAGTTGTGATATACATGTAAAAAAAACTATTTACATCACCCCCCACGATTTTGCACTACATGCATGTAAATACATGTAGTTCTTATCATCTAATCCAGCCGTGATAGAATATCACCTATCTACGGACACTTCCCTGCAACGTTTCTATCACCAATTGATCCCTATTGGGAATTGTTTGCCATTGGGAAACACTACATGTATTGAGATCAGGCCTGGATCCAGCCTAAGGGATATATATAATCCTTTTGTACTAGTTATACGTATATGATTATATTAAACAGATTGCCAAGTGGGGCCCAGGAATTGGTTATTGCAAATATATATATTGCGTTCAGGCGGAAACCCGCAATGATAGTACCTAAAAAGTACCTCTGAAAAAATCATCTATCTCTGATCAGCTAGGTTACTTATAAGGACGATCGGTCGGATCTGTTTAATCTATGAAAGCCTATTCGAGTGGGATATGCTGACCATTCAAGGTACTCTAGTATCTGACTTGGGAATTGAAAATTTCTGGGATAGTTCGTCGACATCAGCTGCGCTATCTATTTTTAAGTTATGGGACATGCTTCGCCGCAATTGGCATATATATATACATGTATTCATGTAGTAGACTTCGACAGGTACTGATGAAAGCTTACAGTGCAAGTACCTAAACCGTGCATGCGTGGACTTTACACTTGATACATACATGTACCTCTAGCTAGGTATACATACATGTGCTATGCATGTGTTGTTACATGTACCTTAGCGTCGAACCGCATACAATTATAAGCCTTATTCAGTCGGCTTATCCAGAACGTAGGCTCACAATAGCCTTATCAGTACAAAAACCCTTTTTAAGCCTTATTTCATCCTTAAAACATGCTTAAATAGCACTTACCTGAACCTTTTTGTACTGATAAGGCTATTGTGAGCCTACGTTCTGGATAAGCCGGCTGAATAAGGCTTATAATTGTATGCGGTTCGACGCTAAGGTAATTATTACTCTATACTCTTGAATATATACATGTAGTGTCGATGCTGCAAGGGCAATTCATGAGACCCCTTGTAAGCACCACAGACAACGGGCGTAACTAAGATCTTGTAGAGGTGAAGTACATATCTCCATTGAAACTTTTACCCTCCTGACAAAAATAGTGATATATATATGATTCACTTGGTGAGCAAGAGCCAGGAAGTGAGTTACGATAGAAGTAAAATTACTAATATGTATGTCTTAAGTACTCCTCATTCTGAGCCTGAAATACACATGTTAGGCCTATGACGGCGCCGTGGTGGACACAATTTATCCCTTGAACCAAGTACTGTCGTTCACGGGGCATTGACGGACACTGGGAGTTGACGGACAAGGGCGAAAACTGGGCTTGGCTGTCTCTTTTTTGGCCTGCCCGTGAATACCCGGTGTCCGTGAACGATAGTGCTAACCTTCTTGCTTTTGAATTTTTGCGTTGGCTAATAGTAATACAGCCAATCAAAATCAACATAAGTTACTAGATAAGGCTAGTATTAGCTGAAAGAGTTTCATCCGCCTAAGGGATAAGTTGTGTATCCCTTAGGCGGTTAGGCCGAATCGCAAAGTGTTACTGAACCTGATATATGTAGTTAAAGTTCTCTGATAAACGCTCTGAGTGAGTGTTCGAATATTACCATACGCTAGAGAGCTCCACCTATTCCACTAGATATAGGGAGAGAATGAACAGTAACTGCGTTCAATTGAGCACATTAACCATATCAGGTTCGGGATAATAGGTACATGTAGTAGAGTAAAAGCAAGAGCCACACCTTGGTGCCAAAGTTAGGGGTCAATGATTTCAGTTAGCCTCTAAATTTTGTATGGTGAGTTACAAATCGCCACAGGCCCTGAAAATGGAGGAGCGGATGGATCGCGCACCGTCTTATAATTTGGGTCTAGTGGTCGCGTGGACGAATATTCGGGTGTAGGTTACGGATCAGTTCGCGCCTCATTTGTCGATTACATATACAACTTACCTGATTAGGGAGATAGTCCAAGACTAATACTGTGGCTGATCAGCATAACCCCTGCAAGGTTCAGGCGTCCGTTCTGCACCGTTCCTCTGTCTTTCCCCACCATGTGTCGTCTTACTTATAACTAGCACCCCCAACCGCAACCGCTGGTGGCCTGAAGTCTGCCTGCCTGCCTGAATACCTCCCCACAGCGATCATTATTACCATCATCAATCATCTCTACAAAACTACAATAGTAGATAGCCCGCCGATTCACAGCTTTATCGCTCACAACTTCCATCTGCACTCCTACTCGCACTCCTACTCACGCTCACATATCACCGCTCTCACTCACGCGGCTGCAGTAGTCGCTATGACCACTACATCCTCTAATACTCCTGGTACTGTCGCGTCAGATTTTATGCCACTGCCAAAATCTTTGCACTCCGGAAAGGAATCTGCAATGTCTATTGAGGAAGAAGATACTTCTAAGATGTCATGTCCATCGACACGGAGCCCATCACCACGCATCAAAAAGGAACAACATCCACCTGAAGAATTTAGCGATACAGATTTCATCCCAGCTGATACTTACTGCGAACTCAACCCCATGGAAGAAGCTCCACAAAAGTCCTCTAAATCAAAGAAGATCAAAGAGGAGAAACTTCTAGTTACTGAACCCGTTGTAATCTCTACCTCAATAACGACAACACATGTCAAGGATCTCCATGAGCTCTGCCAATCACAAGTGAGAATGTCGCCTTCTTTCGAATTTAAAGCGGAATTGCCGCTTGGGTTTAGCGCAACTCTGAGGCTAGTCGGACCAGAAGGAATAAAAGAATTCCAGGCCGAAGGGGCTTATCCTAGTAAGAAGCATGCGAAGGAGGCAGTAGCGGGTTTAGGGCTTGAATATCTGAGGAGCCTACCGAAGAATTCAAAGTCAATGATGAATGAAAGCCCCGAAAAAGATGATACGAATTGGGTTGGGAAATTAAGTGGTGAGAAAGCCTCCTTTACCACCTTGCTGGTTTCAGATTACTTTCTCCATTTCCGGCACATAAACCAGAATAACTCGATACGTTTTTTATTTTGAAGTTGGAAAGGGGCTTATTTATCGTTTACAGATTGGTGTAATAGTAGGAAAACAAGGCCAGAATTCACAGACTATGCTACACCCGGCGCCGGCTTCTCATGCGAAATCAGGCTTCCTGCAGAACCCGGTTATCCCGGTCTTGAAGACGAGGTATTCGGTGACAAGAACGCTGCATTTAAAAACAAGCGCTCTGCAAAAGTTGCGGCCTCCAAAGCGGCTTGGATTTGGCTGCAGAAGAATTCACCAGCGCCATCCTCTAATGGTTCCATATCGGGTGGTACCAAGAAGTCCGGAAAGCTAAGTAAAGCCACCGGAGACGTAATATATCCCAAAGGATCTAAACCGGCGGCGATTGTAAATCGTAATTACCCTATATCCTGGTTCCTTATGTCTCTTCTACCTCGGTCCGTTCATGTCTTAATCAGGTTATAAGATGGCTGACGATACTCATGAAGTTGTCTGTCCTCGTCTTGGAGTAAACACTCCTGAATATAAATTCACGCCTGACCCACGGACTCCGGGGATGTATGACGTCGCGGCGATTATCAGACGACCCAATGGCCCCAAAGACGTCATGGTTGGCCCTCTGAAAAATCTCTACGGCAAGAAGAAAGCAAGAGAGGAGATGTCAGCAGGAGTTTATAACTGGATAAAAAAGGAAGCAGAAAGACAGGGCGTTGGAATATACGAAGCCACCGATACGGATGAGTCTTGAGCCTATGCTGGACTACCGAAACCCGTTTAATACCCTAAATGGTTATGGTGGCTTAGTGTAGGTCGTGAGACTCACATCTTACTCGGCGAAGATAATAAGTACTGGATCATTCAAGATTCCTCGTCACCCTGAATGCGCACTTTTCGATAAAATACGAGTCTAGTTTCTGAATTGTCCAGTCTTTATTACCTCCCTGATTAACATTCTTTTTTTTTGTTGGTGTTCCACTGTATTTGCTGGTGTTTCTCGGAGTATTTGACACTTCCCGGAGGAGGGGTTTCCTCACTGCATAGGACGGAAAAGTAAACTTGGCGTTCCTGCGTTCCTGCGTTCCTGCGTTCCCTTTTTTCCTTTCTTTTTTGGGGGTGGGATGGTCTTTTCTTTGTTCTTATATATATATATATATATTCTCATTTTTTGTTTTACTTCTTTTGGTAGAATATCTTGTTTCAAGTTAATCCTAGTGGAGCGTATTAACAATGCTCGGTGTTTCATGCGATTTCATGTCTAGTAGAGTTGTACTCTTTTCACAAAGATACGATCAATTTGTATATTGAGATATTGGGTTGTTTGAATCAAGAATAGAAAACCGGGCGTTTGCGTTGGTAATTTTACCAGCTAATAATAATATTTGCAAATGGTTATCCACACCAGTTTTGTCTACTACATCTTAAAGTTAAACGTAGAAATGTCGACTGGTATATAATGCCCAAATAGCTAGAGAATACCGCAAAAATTTAATTCAGAAAATCACTTTTAGCACACTGTAGTAAGACCATAAATGGTTAGTAAACCTGGAAGCGCATTCCGATTATCTAAGATAATAACCCCTACATTAGCAGAGCAAGCAAGCTAAATGAGTTTAGGTCCCAGAAACCGTCATTTAGAAATAAAAGTATTCTGGTATGTCGCAGATTTATAAGTGTTATGTAAACACCTACCCCTCGATACAATTCAAAGACTGATCTCTTATAATGATTATAAGGGCAGAAGATGGCAGCCTAGAAGACCCCTGCCCCCCCAATCTTTTCTTGGCGTCAGACTGACATGGAGATTGACCTCCACACCAGAATCATCCTTTCTAGAGAGTAGAACATTAATAGGTCTCTAGGTATTTCAGTTAAATTAGCAACATGTAGCTAGCGACATTTACAGTAGAAGGATTCGAAATAAATGACAAGGCACTTACACCTTCATTCTGGGTAACAAGTTCGGCTACTCTTGAGAGTCTTGAATGATTCAAAGCGTTCACAGTACCAAACCGTTTGATAAGGTCCCCTGGTCTCATGCCGGCTTCAGCGGCGGGACTTCCTGGTACAACCGTGTTAACCCTTGCGAAAGGCGCTTCTATCAGTTGTGTAGTAGAGGAAGAGGTCGCTGGGGATGATGGTGTAGCAGCAAGTGAGGCTGCAATAGTTGCATGATGGGCATGAAGACCCTTTTCGATCTTGTTCATGAGGCCCTTATAGTCGTTGCGGAGGTGTATTATTCGTGACCGAGTGATGCGAATCTGGGCAACGTCGATGTCGTCACGTGGGTATCCATCGAAGGTACAGAGCGGCGTCTGCATATTTACTTTATGCTGATTTAAAACATTCCAGGTTAGCTTTCCATCCATTCTCAGCTCCATTGAGGAATTCAATCAACTTTATAGGTGACCCAAGGCCAAATTTCTAAAAGGAAGAATGCTTGAATCATTATAATTGTGGATAAAAGCCTTTGAACCCGGATAACATACTGAATCTAAAACGCTTCCCAGAGCCTTAAGCTCAGCTTCCACATTATCTTTCTCCTTCATCAAAGCTAGGAGATCCTCCTTTGCATTCCCATTACCGTTTTGAGGCGCATTGTTGTGAGGATTTGGGGAAGAGACGATAGAGGGCATGTGAATATCCATTTCTGTGAGTGGGGGGTTAGGTTATAGCTTTTGTGAGGCAACTATGAGCTGGGGAAGTGGGGATGATAACTAAAAGAGCAGATGTAGAGAAGCGGGGTCTCCGTGCTGGGAATTACGCTATTAGGGCGAAGCCATCCCAAATTTACCACCTTGGCGACGTCATATCCCGAAAAGAGCTGCGCCGGGAGATCGACGATCTCGCATCAACCCAGGGTTGACGAGGAGATGTCGATTCCCGTAGTATTCAATTCAACTTCTCTCGTGGCGGCACGCTCGTTATCTACTCCATATACACTGTGGCATGTTGAGATCCATTGCGTGCTTTTTGCAATGTTCCGCAGCGACAGCTCAGCTTTCAGCCTGGTTTTGGTTTTTTTCGTGCATGCGTCTTTAGCGACCTTGCACTTGACTCTCGCAAATCAAAACGTGAGCTCTGATACAAGACCTGGTCAATTGTTGACCGGCTGTGATCCTGCATTGTTATCGTGGTAAGGAAGTGGACCACGGGGTGAATCCTGAATGGCGAAGATTTACTGAGACCTCCCTAGTAACCGATATGGTAACCGGTGCGTTCTTGCATGCTTGCGTTTGAGAGATAGCGGAATGCCGCAAAGCCCCTAGGAAGCTCCAACCCGCTCACCTCCGATGGGAGGAGCAATCATAGAAATAAATAAAAATAAAAATATCTGCTTAACTGAACCAGCAGCGTGTCATGACCACTACGAGCCAGACGAGCTGCATGAGTATGCTTCCCAGTTGTTGGCCGCATATGATATCCGTCGAGTGCTGGGGCTGTTCAAGTTTATCCCTTCTCTTGCTCTGTCTGTCCCTCACACTCCCTCTCTATTATTCCGCTCTTTCTCTGTCTTTCTATTCTATTGCCAAGGTACGTATTTTTTTCTCTTTTCTCTTTTCTCCCACTCGACCTCGTTTTTGGTTGAAATTTGATAGTCACTCTTGTTCCACGCGGCCGTCACCTGCAGCTGGCTTATTTGTTTTTTCCGCAGTTGGTCACAAAGTAGCGTTCGAGCTGTAAATATAGACTACGTTCCCAAATTCCTCTTCTTACCATGCCTTGCTTCTAAACTCCTTTTGTTTTCAATTGTCTTGCTCTTTGGTTACACTTCTTCTTCTTCTTCTTCTTCTTCTTGTTGTTGTTGTTGTTGTTGCTGCTCTCTTTCTTATCTCTGCGTTTTCTCATTATTTCTTGCAGAGATGGCTATGACTATCCCAGCGCAGCAATCAGACAGTGATTCGTTATACTTCAAAGATTCCGTATCGTGGAAACCTCCCTATTTTATTCGGCCTTTCGTCTCAACAACAGCAACTACAAATGCCGAATCTTCGAGGGAAAGTAGCACCATTCAGAGCTTCCACTCAACAGCAGATAAACTGTCTGTTCTATCCATGGATCTCGGAGCTGCAGAATGCCAGCCATCGTCAATCAATGAATCCACTGCTAGCTCTGCAACAAGTCCGTGCTCACATTCATCGGACGCTGATTGGGCAATCCCTGTGGTATATACGGAAATGGTGGAGGCAGATCGGAGTTCATTGAATCTGGCACTAAAAAGGACTACTGAATCCACCGAAACAGCTGATTTTTTTGAGGAGTTTGAAGAGTTAACGACTACTTCCTCTAATGGCATTGAAATTTCACAAAACGAGTTAGACGTACCATATCGAAAGGAGAGGGACACGCTGCAATTCCGAAAGTGGATAAAATCGTTCCGCCGAAAAGAAACAAACCACCGAAAAAGCTTATATTCGTCAACGGAAGGCGCTTCCGCACTCATTGATGGCGATGCAGTTTCTTCTATGCCTTCCTCAAAAGCGGATACAAAAACACCTTCTTCATCAATGAGATTTGTTACTGCTGTAAAGACGGCATCAAATACATTTGCCTCTCTTTCTATCGCAGGTGGATCCACCAGAAGAAAGTCTAGTGGCGGCACACTAGATGATGCCACCGTAACAAGAATGAGGGATCGCAGATGCGCACTTGAAGAATTGATAAATACAGAAGAGTACTACATCGCTGATTTAAAGGTTTTGATGAATGTAAGTTTCGGACCGTATCTTTAAAATAGGTGACTGTTTCATTTGCTGAGCGTGGAAAGCTCTATTTCTCTGTGCTCAATGATTGCGATTGCATATCCGCAGATGTCAAGGACGCCATCAAACGCAACGTTGCCGAAATACTTGATCTCCATGAGAGCTTGTTGTCAGAAATATTTCGCATGCTCCCTGCTGCGTCACACCAAATTCAGAATTATAAAGGGAAGTTTCTTGATATCAGCCCGCAAGTAGGTGAATTGGAGAGGGCACACATTTTGTCAAACCCAGAGGCAGCCGCTAAAGTGGCAGAAGTGTTCGATAAAATGGTGAGCAGTAAATTGTGTGGTAACATTGCAACTGGTCCTGATATTCTTTTGGGGGGAGGGTACAGATGAGAGGGTTCTTTGTCTACGAAGAGTACTCCGCCAAATACGAACTCGTGTGCCAAGATCTAAGCCAATTTCGCGGTCAATCATGGAATTCATGGGAGAAAGGATGCGAGATGCTGGCTGGAGCAATAAACTCGCCAGACAATCAACGGGAGTATGGGAAGCGTGCTCTGACATTAGATGATATGCTTGTTAAGGTATGGAGACTCTATCCTCAAAAAATATACAGGATTTGAGGATACTTACTGATTCTTCACCTTTCGCAGCCCATACAAAGGATATGCAAGTATCCTCTGTTTTTTGCAGAGATAGTGAAATATACGCCAGCAATGGACTGCCCCCAAACAAATAGACTACTTGAAAAGGTTCGTTATCGACTGGAAGAGACGGCGTACCAGATTAACACAGCAAAACGCGAGGCACCAAGAACACGAGAGAGGATAGAGAAGACATGGTTGTTACAGGATCGAATAGACTTTCAGGAAAAGGTAATTCCACTCCTTCACATAATTGATATTTCCATGCTTTCTATAAGTGAAATCATTTCTAACTAGCCTTGCGATGCTTTTACAGTCCGGATTTTCTATACGTCTTTTGGGACACATTGTCCTGTGCGGCGTACTACATGTCGTTTGGCAACGGCAAACAGGCGTTACCGGGGAATATCTAGCTTGTTTATTATACAAGTCTTACCTTTTGTTGGCGACAGTTTCCAAGGCAGATAACAGGTATAGCGTGAAGTTCGCTATAACTTTGGCTACCGCCCGTATTGAGGAGGTGAATCAGGGCCGAGGTCGGTTTTCTAGTTGTTTTTAGAAGCTCAGTCTCTGATAATTAAACCACAGGTTTGACTTGTCATTCTGCGCTTTTCTCATGGAAAATTATATTCGAGGCAGGGCATCGAATTTACGAAATATTAGTCAGTGCTTGTTCAGCGAAAGAGGAGGAGGTATGGAGAACTCAGATATTGGACAGAGCGACAGCTGAAAGCAGAGACTACCAAGAGTACAGCTCAACGAACTTTGACCTTTTTGGTTCAATGAATTCCGATGTGAAGCCGATCGGAACCGTTTTTGGCCGCCCTGGAACTTTGGTCAGACATCAATCTCTCCATCGTTCGGGGAGCGATCCAAAATCAGATGTCGCCAATGTTATCATCAAAAATACTCATGCTCTCTCCGAAGTCATTTGTTCGCAGTCAAACGCCCCCAGTATCAATAGAAGCCTTTCTGTTTTGAGTATCAATCGAGTGCCAATTTTTTCACCCAAGCGGTCTGATAGGAATAGCATTGAGGCAAAGCTAGCAGATGTTTGGACAAAGGATATGCTATCTTTTGGATCGATGGGCCCTGGAACTCGGAAAAGAGCGGACACAAGCAACCTTATGAAAAGGCTGTCTGTGGTTAGCTTGGTATCAACAGTTGCAAGGAAATCTATGCACAGTTTACAGAGCTATGGGAGTCAGTCAGAGGCCTCCTCAATCCAATCATGTGAATCCGGGGATGGTGATGATTTTGATGCTATTGGGAAAAGGATGGCAGGCAGCTCAGTGAAATCCAAGCAACCACCAAAAAATGCTCCGAACATTGTCCCAATGAAAAGGGCATTCTCGTTTTCAGCCACAGGAAGGAAAAACAGCAATGATTGGAAAAATACTTGGCGTAAGAGTGCCGCCCCCTCTAAGGATGATAAACGGCGGCTCCCGATGACGCAAGAGGATGTGAGTGTTACTTATGAGACAGCCCCCAAAATTCTTGCACCGATGGCCAACAATCCAACAACAGATTCGGAATTTGGGCTGTCAAGAGAGTGTTTAAAAGATATCTCGAGTACTGCTCTTAATGATGTCACAATCCCGCCGTCACCTCCACTAAACTCCTTAAAAATACAGAGGAAAAAAAGGAATAACGCCCTAGGCCCAAAACCCAATTTGAAAGGGGTTTTTCAGAAGAGATTTTTTAGCAGAAGCACTGCACGATAGTGTGCTGTTTTTAGTGCTAATGCCACTACCACCGCTACCATTGTAGCCATCGACTATCTTTTCCTACCATTGTCTTTTCATTGCATCCCATTTACTATTTCTTTACTGTTTGGCTCGTTTTTATCGGCGTCTCGAGGTTTTAATCTGGGTTTGTGTTTATTTTTTATTGAGGCAAACTCTCTTCTGCCTCTCTGCAGTTAAGATAGTTATCGATTATCAAAACTTTGTACATGCGTAGGCAAAGAATCAAGCTTACCTGCTTGTGCATTGGTTACGGTCTCTAGGCGGAATGATTCCTGGTTTGCTTTTCTTTCCTTAGTTTCTCTCCTTCATTTCCCTTTCCAGACTTTGGCTCGGCCAGCCGCTTTTTTCTTTGTGTTTTCGTAAAGTGTTTATAACTTCTTGATAACCGGCCTTTTTTATGTTTATCTACCACCACTAGATGTAAAAAATAAGTGTTGACGTGATTTGTCGCTAATTATGTACCCCAAGATATCATTGACCTCCTGGGAAGTATCAGCTTAGTGCTCTGCAACAATGCCAGATCAAACGGCAGCCCTGTAAGTTCCCTGTAAATGTAATCTTTATCTTAACCGCACGCACACAGTCGGCCCATTACGTCGCTTTTCTTTTAAAAAAATTCTACATGTGGGGGCGCCTGCACAGCAGCATGGACAATGTCAGGTATGTATGCTAGATACGCGCAGTGCCTTCAGTTTAGAAACTAAAGAACTTAGCAGTACCTTCATACTCTATAGATAGCGACGGCCTAAATGAATCAAGGCTGAGTCTGTGAGGTTGCCCTATTCGATATCCACCCAATTGTGTAGAGTAGACTTCATGAAACGCATCCCCCCACCTATGTAGGTAGCCCCCTCCCCCCCGCTACTCGCGATTCTCAGCTTCCTTTATTCTAGGGTATGTACCTACATAGTTTTTCTCTCTTTCTTTCCTTCCATTGTATTCCAGCATCCTTCGTCTCTCTATTGCTTTAATTGCTTTTTCCACCACCACACACCAAACGCAGTGAAGAACCAGCCAATTCTGGACCAGTCAGTTCGTTCAGCAGACCCGATACAAAGCTATCAGCGCTCTACTTATCAGTCCCAAAACTCTACTTTTTGTGTGGGGTCAGTCAGTCGGTCCGGGTCACAGAGTGTGTACCTACGTAGAGTAGGTGCCACAATAGGCACTCTGCCTACTACGTACGTACGCACGCACTCCACCCCGCAACCCGCATAATCAGGTATTTGTACTGAATCGGTACAGAGACTGGCAGAAAGTGCTGTTTGGGCCGTATGTAAGTAGAAATCTCGAACTGCCCCTCCACTCCACTTCACACTTCTGCTCTCAAGCGAGAAAAGAAGTAAAGAAAAGAGACGACGCAAGCTTTTTCCAAGAAGTAAGAGTAGCCCTATGTAGTAGTAGTACCATACCATTCGCAGACTTGTAGCTGCGAGGTTATTTATAACACCCCGCCAATAGCCGCACGCCGTCGTCCCGGGAACGGGGAATAAGTTGCCCAAAGCGGCCTGCGCGGTCATTGGCTCCCTCCTGCTGCTTCTACTGCAAATGCTCAGCCCCGCACGTGTGTTGCGCGTTCCATCCGATACCTGGCGATGGGATACCGCGCGTGGAAACCTGCCAAATTGCTTCTGTGGGAAATATTGGCATTTCCATCCATCCCATCCACCCAGTCAGCTAGCCAGCCCACACACATTTCCATCTTCTTTCTCTCTCTGCATGACTCGTGCATATGCACCGATCATCAAACCACTGCATGAATGGATGGATCCTTGCCTTCTTCTACTACTAGCTGGCGGGCGGGCTGGTTGGAGACGAACCAATAAAATGGGAGACCGAGAAACCCGGATCAGCGCTCCTTTGCCCTCCTCTCTGTCAGCTGAAAGTAAAAAACTGAAACCCGATTCCGCATCGAGATTCTTCAGAAGTCTCGCCTTTGCTTTTTCCTTTTCTTTTCGGTTTCGGGTTTTCGGTCCTTGGATTGTGGGTGTGTGTGCTCGTAAGATCGGATTGGACGAAAAAAGCGCAGGAACAAAATCTTGTTATGTAATTCCAAGCTGAAGGGTGGGCACTGAGTGAAGTGCTCTTTTTCCCCTTTCCTTTCTTCTGTTCGTCCGGTCCGGTCGGTGAAGAGAGGAAAAACACCGCTGCGGCTGCGGTTGGTCAACTGGTCGGACACACGCGTCGGATACGGTGTGCGAGTGAGCGCTCATGTCGCAGGCCTCTATGTAGAGTACCGTACTCTAGTCTACAAGGGTTGGGGGTATCTGTGCTACCTAGAGTAAGTACCTACTCTAGCTACATGTATGTCTCGCTCGTCGTGCCCGGACCAAGGCTACTCCTTCAGGTACCGGTACCTACTTGTTGTCTCACGGCAGGTGCTTGTTGTTTGGTTGTCGGCGGTGAAAAGGCTTGTATCCGGTCCGGCCGGGACACACACACTTTCTTATGAATTTGCTTTTGTGGGAGGCACTGAAACAGGCTGGCTGCTTTTCGGTACCACGTTTTTTCTTTCTGCCTTGTCGCCGTGAGAGATATCATGGATGTACGGTGTCGGACAGCCAAAACCAGCCGGCCAGAGCAACCACCGACTCCCCTTCACCCCATCGACTTTCAACAACGCAACACTTGTCCAAAAATAATGTCCTTTTGTAAAATGGGTCTAATCATGGTTGTAAACATCCCCATAAAAGGGGATTTAAAATAATTAAGAACTGGCTGCACTATGACCTCTCAAACATTTGGTGCAATCTGCCCGAAAAAAACATAGGTGTGAAATAATAACTTTAATAGCTTTATGCCAAGGCGGCCACATTAATTGGGATAATTCTTACCCTATTCGGATGATTCGATGATTGTTATTACCCGATTAGGACTAGTTTCTGGCTTGAAAAGAACATGAGGGTTGATTTTGACTGTCCGGCGCTGTACATGTATGCATGTACCTCGATACTCTGAAGATCAGGACGAAAACTCTGGTCCATGATTCATGATCCTGCGGTCTACTTCACAAAAAGATCTGTGTCTTGAGACTCTCCGAACCGGGCTCGTCATCTAGTGCGAGACCCAGCTGGAGCCGGCCGGCTAGACACATCTCATCTTAGCTACCCTACCAGGGCTTGTGATGGAAAAAGCTCATACGCAGCACCTGGAAGTTAAGCTTGTCATCTTGGTACCAGATCTCATCATCAGAAAATGGAGGCAGGAATTGACGCTTCCGGCATATCATACTGCAGCAGCACTGCTTGATGAAAACCGATCTTGGATTGCATACCTTGTCTTGGTGCCGTCTTATCTAGATCACCCTGCCCCTCCGGTCGTCGTGATAGATACATTAGCTAGTGTCTGTCCGTCACTACCGCCGGTACTATACTACTGTGAGGACAGGCTCGGGGCGGGCTCGGGGTGGAGAGGCAATCACACGTAGATCCGGAGATATGTGTGTTGATCCCCGTGCGTCAATTCTGATCTAGACAAGTGTCCATAATGAGTAGTAGAGCCTTACACGTGCTGAATGGCGCGATATTGTTCAGTATTGTGTCCTGGGCGGGGGAGGGCGCGTTGATGGAGTAGAACAGCTAGCCCCGGACTTGTGTTCTAACGTAGAAACCCCTCCCCCCCTAAATCTGCTTGGCGGGTGAATACCTGGTATGACCGATCATTGACCTACCAGGTGAGGGAAAGAGTCTCGTTAGCCAGAGAACAAGGAGTACCCTCTTTTGTTCTAGCTAGAAGTGGTAATGGTATGTAGTACCCCGTGGGGAGAAAAAAGACGCTTTATGGTTTCTCATAGAACTTCTGGGGTCTGTCACACTACCTATTCTAATGTGGTATCTCTGGGAGCTAACTCTAAAGTCATCATCCCAGTCTACAAGTTACTCGGGGCAGGCAAGAAGAACCTGAAAATGACTTTTTATGGTAACGACCTCTGATTCGCGGCTGGCAAAAAGCTACACCAAATTGAGCCCCTACTTGCAGCTTACATTTTCAGGTTCTTCTTTCCTGCCCCGAGTATATTCCCCAACTGGTAATATCACGCGCCCCCTAATTACTAGGTACAAATAAGCTCTCAGGAGGGTTATAAACCGAACAGACCGAGCCACTGCGGACTTCAAAAAGCACCGACTATCGCTACCACCTGAGGACAATTGTAAACCTGCTCTAGCTCTCCTAGTTGACTAGAATCATGGATCATCACTTGGGCTTCATACACATCCATGTTTGAAACCAGTATAACATATTTGACCTTTATCTAAAGTACCCACTTGAATATATGCCTTCGTTAGATCCCAACTAGTGATAGACCCAAGACAGAACAACTTTGCCTTGATACTGCGGGGTAATACCTGCGAGGACAGCGAAGAGACAAGACTTTCATTTGGTCTTGGGATCTACTCCAGGAGCACACAAAATCGGTTTTTCGTCCAACAAAACGTAGTTTCAAACAACCCTAACCCGACCTTTTCTGCACATATATAGAGTATATCGCTATAACTCCGCCAGATCTCGAAATATGCAATACCTCGCTATCACAGTCATAATCCGAATGAGACTACGGTCTACCGAAGAAGAAAACAAACATGTAGTAAGGCTATAAGTCCCACCACTGGTATATACACGTGTCCCACGGACATTCCGAAGCTTGGTGGTTGTAATTCAAATATTTAAACCCCGATACAAAGCAATGATGCATCTTTGGCAAGCCCGTCAATCCATGAATCCCGTATGAGCGCTACCAAAGTGCTGTATCCAAACTAACAAGGCATCTATACATGTAGCCAATACCTCTTCGAGGAGCATACATTGCTGGCTAGTGCCTCACTCAAGCTTGAAATAATGTCCTATCACACTTACTTTCTATAGTGGCCGACGCCATTAACAGCTTAGTGTATATAGAACTGCGAATTCCGCTCTTTACATCTGTTTTTCCCAGACTTTTGTCCGGTCACTCGTCTATTTTTAGTACGAGTGACCGCCCATGACCCAAAACCCAAAACCCGAAAAGACCAACCAAGGCCCCCGCGCACGCCGAAGAGCCCCCCCGTAGCCCGGAGCGCTAAACCTGGCACTCGTGGCGGCGTGGTGTCGAGAACATTGCGACAGACCGGGCATAAAGTCCCTAGCAACGGGTAGATGTGCACTTTAGTGACGGTTATGCGCTGTCTGAACCCAACTTTTCTCCCCATGACGCACAGAAGGTAGCTCCTTCCAGTTCACATACGCCCATAAACTACGTATAGAGGGTTTCGGATTTGCTACGGGTCTTTATTTACCCTGCAGGGTAAAAAAATATGTTCTTGAATTATTTGGTTTTTTAAGCTGGGTGGGGTGGAGTTTTGGGGGTATTGTGGAAACCGCTGGCCGAGAACCTTGACCCAAAATAAGCCCGTTGGAGACGTAGGACGTGACTGGGGGTGGGGTTGCTATCGGTAATAGAGAGCCTATGGGGTAATGTGGAAAGGATCGAAAGTAGAGGTAGAAGCTGGTTTTGTATAGAATCCGTGTAAGCTAGCCGAGAGTCAGTCAATAGCGCAAAAACTTACATATATCATTGCCAGAAAGCTATTCAACTAATTAATCGGTCAAAGTCTACGATATAGCCATGGATTACTCTTTTATATACAAGGACGCACCCCCCATGTAGTATATGAAAACCCAGTCGTCGTTTACTTAAAAATAGTTATTAATGGGTACAATGTAAAACCGAACAATGTATGGGAGGAACTCGTCTTTTTCGATGTTCTTTAGCTAACGTTTTCAGAGTAATATTACAGTATTACGATATGTCTGCGGCCAAGTTGGGGAGATGTACCCGAGGCTGCGCACAGCCCAGGATCATGTATTATCACTCGAAGTCTTGCGATATTTCGTCTTGGAGCAGGCCGTTATCGCAGGTCAAGCCTCGTGATCGGGCTCGAGTCTCATACTATAATTGAAACGGCGGCTGGAGGGAGTTACAGCAGTGTGAACATCGTATCAAGAATGAGTTTTAGTACTACATCATTTTTATGGTCGCCAGAGCCAAAAGGTATTTCTCATGAGACGAGACGCCATGCCAAAGGGTCTTGTCTTAAACTCTTGCCAAAAAGCCTAGAGTCGGATATCTTTAGCCTCGAGACCAGCGAAGCTAAAGTGACACCATGAATATCAGTATGTAAATCATCAGTGGTATGCCTCAACCCACAGCTGTCCAACAGGAGTTAGTTATCAACTCTCAAGCACTTTTGCGAGTCACTCAGAAATTCTAGCGGACGGTCACCGGACTCTTTGGAGACTAGGAATAGTTGAAGATTTCTTTATTCAAAGATTGATGTCAGGTCTTGGCTCATGGCTACTCACTCGGCTTTCTAAGCCTGTCTCGGGGCGAGACGGGAAGTTACCGGCCCACTTGTTTCATAAGATAAGACTGGGCCCTCATCTCGACTCTAACTGTGTTGTGGAGAACCCTAGTTAAAACCCCAAACCTAAAGGGGTCAAAAGAACCAAACCAAACTCACGCCTTTCATGGAAACCTATGATCCAGCTAACTGGAGAAAGGGGGGGTTGTAAACCTTCTACCGATGAAGGGTAGAGGGAATGAGGGGTAAAAAGGAACAGGGTCAGTAACATAGGAACAGGAAGAAGCTAATATGCGCAGAGAGCCGTCATGGAATAAAGCAGTTCGAAACCAAAATGGGACAGGGAGAGACTCAAAAGGATAGAGAAAGCCAAAAAGGAATATACGGAGAGCCAGCAGGAACCAACCAGAGGTGAAGAGTCAAAAGGACCAACAGGAGCCAAAATAACAGAGACCCGATAGGAGCAGAGAGTCAACAGGAATAGATTCCAGAAAGAGAGACAACGAGGTACAGAAGAAGGAAACAAAAAAGGAATAGAAGGAAAGCCGGTAGGAATCTACCGAGATAGAGCGCCAAAAAGGGGCAGCTGGAGCCACAAAAGAACAATGAGAGCCAAAGGAAACACAGGAAGCTATAGCTGCATGCAGAGGAAGCCAAAAGGGAATGGATATCCGGAATGAACAGAGAGAGAGAGAGAGCCCGCTGGAACAGGAAGAGAGCCGAAAGGTAACAGAGAGAGGCAATAAAGAACAACAAGGGAGCCAAAAGGAACAGAGGGGACATAAAAGGAACAGCGGAGACCTAAAAGGAACAAACGCGACCTTGGACCCTCAGCATAACCCAGAGTCCAAGAGTCGAAGGGGGCGGACACAACTACATGTAGATGAGTACATGTAGGCAGGTCAAAGTCTCTCTCACTTGATAATGGTAGCTTGGAGGGGCAGGCCGGGTTCCGATTGGCGGATATAGGGGCAGCCTCGTTGAAGCTTTTTAGAGGGAGGGACACGATAGGCAGCGACAGAGTGAACGATAGAGGAAGAAGTTATTGGTGGTTTGTGCGCATTGTGTTTGTTCGTTGTGTTGTGCGGCCCTCCAGGGTAACTGCATACAACGGACTTGTCACCAGATAGCAGATGTCAAAATCCATCCGAATCATAACGCACCCACCAGCGTCCCACAACACAACCTCGACCCTGCCGTACGTACCGGTAGCCACATGTACCGCACACGCCACCGCCCAAGCCAAATTAGCCTAACCACACACCGTCTCACCGCCCGAGTGATACCTCATGACCGACGTTCCAAAAAGGAGTATGAACTACAACTATCGCCATCGCTCGAAAAAGCGGCCAGTCTTTATTATAGCGTACATGTAGCAACTGATGGTCTCCGCGCCTAATATTAGCAAAAGATAAGTGGGGCCAGTACACACCTCCACCTCTCATGATCAAAGCGTATATAGCTCATCCCAAGAATCCGCGCGCGACAAGTGCACACATGACTTACTTACTTCTACCAGCCAGCTGATATGCTAGAAAAGCTACATAGACACAGACAATGCGTAAATTGGCAGGTAAAACACACAAAGGAATTAATAGGGTTCGAAAAGAGATCATATATATACCGAGAGTTCGATTTACAGGAGTTTGGGGGCTAGTGGGTGCAGGGGCAAAAACGTTCGTCCTGGATTTAATCCACCTCGTATCTTGTGTGGAAGACACCCGGAGAGGAAAGGTTACATGCAGAACCCTACAATCCCCTCCAGCACATATAGTTATCCCGGGCTCCGTAGCATAGTGGCGTATACCCTCGAAAGGAAACAAGTATTTACGACAGCGAGGCCGGCCGCGGCGCGCGATTCCCGCTACGGAGAACCGATTTTTTTTTATTTTCTTTTTATTATTTATACCTCCAGCTTTTGAAGAGTAGAATTAAAGAGTAGGTATGTAGCTAGGTTCTTCCCAATACCCTGCGACTAGCGTTGGCTTATACACTAACTACCACGCGCCTACATATAACTAGATGCACGGAGCTTATATGCGTACTATCTAACTCTTACTCTATAACAACAACAGAAGCCTCCGTAGTGTAGCAAATTCCAGAGTAACCGTATTTGCATCAGCAGCTATCACTCGGCGCCAAGCCACCCACTCCACCCGCAACTTGCAATGATCACGGCACCATGGCTACATGTAACCAACGGCCACGCCAAGTACGCAACGGACGGGTGGACCACAGATGATATGGTCATACAGAAGAAAAAAGCTAGCAGAATACATGTAGATACATAACTGTGACAAAATACATGGTTCCGTCCCGTGCAGTCACGAGTATATCATATTGGCTAGATATGAGCAGGTCGGCCCAATATTGCGATTGCCCAACTGGCTGTTACGTTCTATTGACAAATAGTTACCTTATTCACCAAACCAATGGTCCATTGGCATAGGGCCAATAATAAGCGTTTGCGACTACTTAGGACTGGACGGAACATATACAGTTATACATAGAATACACACGGGTGGTATCCGCGCGCTATCAGTTACAATATGGCCCTTGAGAAAGTTACATGCATGCACGATAGATATATATAACAATGAGACCTGAAAACAACTTGAAGTCTGTGTTGAGTAATGACGCTGCTAGCTAGTATCCTAACTAGCTAATGAAACGAAAACGAATGAATGAATGGTAGGTATCGAGCTACTCATGCATGAGCCATGGCTGCTGCTACTTCTGCTACCAATAAAAAATAAGAGGTTTTAAAAAAAATGGAATAAAAAAAAATATAAAAAAAAAAGGAAAAAGCCAATTCCCCCCAAACTCCCCTCAAATCCACAACTTTTTTTTCTTTCTTCCCCCATAATAATAACAGAAACGTGGGGTAAGGTGTGTGTGAGGGTACACACATCAAGCCGCCTCGCCCTCAACCTCACTCTCCGCGCCGGCACCCCCCACCCCCTGCCCTTCTTCCTCCCAAACAGCCCCTTCTCCCCCTCCTCCTTCTTCCTCCCGCCCCCACCCCACCACACCAAAGAACCCCCCCTCCCTCTCCCTCTCCCCCTCCTCCTTCCTCCCGAAGAACCCCCCGCCCCCTTCCCACCCCACGGCAACGGGCTCCCACTCCCAGCAAACCCCTCCTCCTCCTGCACCCCCCGCCTCCTTCCTCCTCACCATCCTTCTTACGCCCGAAAAACCCACCCTCCTTCTTCCAATTCGGCAGATTAAACTTCCCCGTCGACCCCTTCCGGCTCAGCGCCCCCAGCCGCCCAAGCAGTGACGACTCCTTCGCTACCACTACACCGCCACCCTCTGACATGTCCGTCCCCACGCTGCGCAGCGAGTCTTTCGACCGCGCTGCGTCCGGCGCGGCACGCGCTTCGAACGTCGGCGCCGCGGGGTTCAGCCGTGGCGCTGCGGGCGCCGGCTGTGGCGAGTACCAGCTACTCTGCCCCCTCCTCCCGCTGCCACTCCCGACGCACTCGCCGGCGAGATGGGGCGGGAGGATGATGAGGGCGGATACTCGCTCCACGACGCCAGCAAGCTCGACCGGTTCCTCGGCACATTCATCTCCTGCGCGGTGGGCCAGCCGAAGGCCGCCGAGACGTCGGACCCCGGGATGGGCAGTGGCAGCGTGTTGTTGTTGACGTCGAACGACGCGATGGACGACGGGCGCGAGTCGAAGAGGCGCGCGGGCTCGATGGGGTCGAACGAGGGGTTGAACGGGTTGAAGGCCGTGCGGCGGCCAGAGTGCTCGCTGTTTGTGCGTTCGAGCCCCACGGGTGCGGGGGCGGTGGCGGTAGGGAGGGGCCCTTTCTTGAAGCGCGCAAAGTCCCAGGTGCTGCCGTGGGAGCCGCTGCGGCGGCGGGTGCCGATGGGGTCTAGGCCGATGCCGACGGGGGCGTCGTGAGATTTGGGGACGCTACGGGATTCGGCGGTGGTGAGGGTGCCGAGGAGGGGGCCCTCGAGGGGGATGGTCTTACCGCGCTGGCGGTTGAAGGAGTTTGAGAAGAGCTTTACGAAGCGGCGCCCGCCCGAGACGGACTCGGGCGGGTTTGTGGACGGCGTTTCGGGCAGGTGTGGGAAGAGGGGGATGTGGTTGAAGCTGCTGCCGGGCGAGGATATGTGCGTTGAGGCTGAGCCTGAGGATTGCGGAGAGGCGGTGGTGAGGCCGAGGCCGTCGAGGTTGGGGTTGCGGTCTTCGAGGTGCGGGGAGCTGGCTTTGGGGCTTGGGGGAGAGTCTTCGAATGAGAAGAGATTGGACGGGAGGAGGGAGTTTGCGGTGGGCGACATGGGCGCGCCCCCGGTGATGCGTTCGAGCTCCATGGAGGCGGACATGGGGTCGTCGCCTTGGTCGGTCGGGGCGGCGCCGTTGGCAATGTTGAAGAACGGGCTGGGCATGAGGGCCGTGGAGAAGGCGTTCCCCATGGGGCGCTGCAGATGCAGGCTGTTGACCGACTGAGTGTCGGAGAAGATCTGCTCCTGCGATGGGAAGGAGTTGGTGGAGCCGGAGAGCGTGTGTGTTCTGGACTTGCGGTTCCGGTGGCGGCGCTGCTTGGTCTTCTTCTGCGGGACGGTGTCGCTCTGGCTCCCTCTGCGGCTTTGCGACGACAGGAGATGTTCCTTGGAGCGCATGTAGTCAATCTCCGCCTGTGGGCTGTCAGTAATGATCGGATTGCAGGAAAGCATGGGAGGATGAGGGTGACTGACCGCCTGGTAGCTGTTGTAGACATTGACATATCTCGTCTCCAGCTTTCTCTGGCGCACCTTCCATTCCCGCTCTTCTCTCTCGTCTTCTGCGATCCTGACGCTCTCCTTCTCGTCCTCAACCTTCCACTGCTCTCTCCGCGCCTCGGCAGCCTTGATGGCGCCAATCAGAGACCTGATCTCCTCCTCCATCTCCACAATGTTCTTCTGCAGCACCTTCATCTCCTCCCCGAGTTCCTTCTCCCTCTTCAGCGCATTCTTCCGCGCCTCCTCCGCCTCCTTTTCAACAGCACCGACCTTCTCGACCGCTGCCGCCCTCTCCTCATCCCACCGCGCAGAGTCATCGCGCATCCTCCGGATCTCCTCCTCCTTGGCCCGCAGCGCCTTATCCGTCTTACTCCTCAGCGCCTCTGCCGCCCGCTTCACCTCCTCCAGCGAGCGCGTCTCACTGCGGAGCTTCTGGCGACTAAGATCCTCCTCATTCTTCTTCTCCTTGAGCAAGTCCAGCTCCGACCTCAGCACCGCCTCAGCACTCTTAAACTCCTCCTCCGTATGCGCCAACTGCGCATCCACATCGTCCGTATCCCTGCGCACCGCCTCCAGCGCGGCCGTCAGCGTCTCCACCGAGTGCTGCTCCTCCGCCGTCGCCGCGCCCTGGCCCTGCTGCTGCTGCTCCGCCGCGGCGGGCGAGTTCCTGCGCTGGTCGGCCGACCCCTTCCCGACGCGGCGGTGGTGGTGGTGGTGGGTGTGCTGCGGCTGCTGGTGCTGCTGCTGCGGCTCGACGTGGTGCGAGTGGATGCTAGGCAGGTCCTCGGAGGAGTCGGTCTTGGGGCCCACCGACGACTCGGCCGATGACGACGAGAGCGACTTGCGCCGCGTGCGCAGGCGGATCAGTTGGCCGGGGGCTTGGAAGTTGTGCGCGTTGGCGGCGATGACGCGCACGTTGTAGAGGTTGTCGGGGTTGAGGCCTGTGACGGTTACGCTGGTCTCGCCGCGCTTCTCGGATTCGCCGACTGTGTGGTGGGAGGGGGGGCTTGTTAGTGTATGTTGTTATTGCCTTGGACTGCGGGTGAATTGGAGAGGGGGGAGAATTGCGGGGCGGCGGCTAACCGTTGATTCCATTGATCTGGATAATGTGCTTCGCCACAGACCCCGCCTTCTCGGGAAGGCTCCAGTGCAGCGTGATTGTGTCTGCGGCGACGCCGTGCAACGAGACACGCGGCGGAGCGGGCAGATCGAGACCTAGAAGCTTCACGAGGGTCGGTATCGGGATCTTGAGCAGCGTCGATGCTCTATAGCACATCCTGTTTGGGGTCAGTTTGGTGCCATTGCGGGTAGCGTGTGGGGGAGGGGTGCGGAGTGTGGGGTGTGTATGTATGTGTTTGTGTGCGTGCGTCTGTGTGAATGGCTTACCATGCCAGAGCGACAATTGTGCCAATGATGACGAGAACCATCACGACGTGCTAATGATTGCGTAGTTGCTACTACTGCTGCTGCTCCGTGATGAACTTGATCGATGGTCCACGGTGGGTGATGTCGTCTAGGAGGAGGAGGGCAGAGAGAGAGCGAGAGAGACTTCACGACCTACTCAGGGTCTGGTGTGTGTGAGGCGAGTGAGGTGAAGGGTGTGAAGTGTGGAGTGAGTGGATGAGTGAGTGAGTGAGTGAGTGAGTGTGTGTGTGTCAGGTAACATAAAACTTTATTTTAGTGTTGCCGAGCGAGCACGCATGAAGAAGTCAACAAGTTACAACTAGGAAAAAAAGACGATTGCGGTGCCGGCGGGGGCTTAGTCACGCAGCACAGCGAGGATTACGTGATCCGACTTGAGCCCCTGCGATAGGACGGAGGGTTAGCGGTGCCTGTGGAGTCTGGAGAGAGGAAGGGCATAACTTACAGACGGTGGGTGCCTGCACGTGGTCGGGGGCTCTGCACCAGGAGAGAAGGTACTTCCATCTGGATTGCTGTCACGGCTCCACTCTAGAGTAGAATGCTCATCATGTAGCTCTAAAGACCGGGAAAGGGCCAATTGATAACCCCAACGTTGGACAGAGACCAATTGATAAAGAACGAGTCTGGCGACTCGATAACGATAGCAAACACGCCTGGGTTCGGCTCACGACTCGCAGAGATTTCTACCCTCATCTGTCCGTGTCGCACCGGTGTTACGAAGCACATTTAAGGTTCGTGTCTTGGCATATTGGTCTCTCTCGCTGCTCTGCTCTGCTCCAGCTTTGGAATGGAATACTTACATGTATGCAGACAGATGTTGTGCTGGCACGCAAGTTACGTGGCTAGCGAGCGAGCAAGCAGTAGGAGGAAGGAGGCTGGAACGATGCTCTCTTGCGCGCACCGATCTGGAGATATCAAGACTCTGCTTTAGAACATGTATGTATGCGCTTCTCTGGAGTAGCCATCGTTTACTCTGGCGTAGACACTTAACTCGGGGTCGCGACACGGCGTTTCTGAGCAACAGGGGAACTAGGTAGAGTACATGTAGGTGAGATATCTACAGTAACATCTGTGTCTAAATAGCTGATTGGCCTGAATTCGTAGTACTCTCTACAATAATACAGTAATGTAGAGAGAGAGAGTATCACGCCCGTGATCCCCACAAGCAGATACATAGCACAATTCAATGGTCCCGTGAGCGCAACTCCCCCCTTCAACGCCAACCTAGGTATCCCAGGGTTAGGGATCCACGCACTCTACCCTACCCACCCACTAGCCCGATAACCCGTAGGTAGAGCACGCACGGAGGACTCTCGGACACCCACAAACCACAAACTCAAGTGTTCGGGCTGCAATTTCCACTACTCTACTATATCGGCACAAGCTCTTCCGAGTTGCTCCCGGCTGTTATTGTGGGGGGCGTGAAAGGTATCGCCGAGTGATGGGATGTGATTCAATTCGATCTGGGCGGGTGGCTGAAACAAGTTGCGACCGATACGCCGGTATGTAGGTACTGCTACGGGCACAATCGATGGTTTGGATAAGACGATTGATTCCCAGAGGTAAATGCTTAATTAAATCATCTCCTATTGCATTCACTGGTAACGAATCCTCTGCTCTATATACTGATCTACTGATCTGCCTACATACCCCATAATTAAACTTGTCATATCCACTGGGGGGCCATCCAAACGACCTTTGTGAATCCCCCCACGAGGGGGCAGGCTACAGTAATATTGTCCATAACCTACTATTTAACAGCAAGCAAGCAAGCAGGCCAATACTTACGCCAAGCCCCCAGTCCATCCTAAATTACATACAAACCCAGAACCCTTACCCACCAGACACACACACACACAAAAACAACGTGTGGGGAACACCCCAGCTCGACCGACAAATATTTGCTTTTTTATGAGTTTGCATCGTCTACAAACCCTCACGAGATTTCTTCCTTTCTTCTAGACGTGGAGTTATGCAGCTAGCTAGCTAGCGTCCAATTCGGGCCTGAGAGCACAAAACAGGATTCTTCCAGAAGGCCCTTCTTCTTCCCGTCCGTCGTTCGGTCGTCGTCGTCGTTGTGGATGGAGCTAGCTAGCTAGCGCTCACGGAGAACCAAGATGCAGCCCAACAGCCTGTGTTCCTTGATTTCATCCAGCGCCGCCGGAGAATTTGAAGGGCAGGCAGGCAGGCAGGCACAGCGGCGGCGGCGCGGCGGCGGCGCGGCGGGCTAGAGTAAAAGTAAAAGGTTGCCCTGCGGTGCGATTCGAAACTCTGACATCAATTAACGACCGGAGGAAGGGAAGTGTGATGTGATGAGTGTGATGAGGAGGAGAAGGAGGAGGCTCACACACAAAGCAAAAAGTGAAGAAGCGAAACAAAGCAAAACAAAATCTCAACAACCAGATCAGGTGGGCGACGCCTCTCTCTTCGGTCGAGACTCGAGACTCCCCCAACCAAAACCGGGTTTTTGTTTTTTGTTTTGATTCGCCGGAAAGTTTTTTTTTCCCCTTCTCCTTTGGCGGGGGAAAAAAGAAATAGATGGTTAGAGGATATATCATCATCATCATTCATCATTCATCTACTGATTGGTTGGCTGCAATCGTCTGACCAGATTGGAACTTTTTTTTTTTTTTCGTAACTACTCTTGCATCATTTCGCAATGCGCACTTTTGCTTTACCCGAATTTGCGGGCGGAAAAAAAAATAACTTCTCAGAATCTAAAAAGTTACTCGACCGATGGGCCAGCTGAAGAAGAGATGGGGAGCCGCAATGTACCGCCTTGCAGCTGGGGGGGGGGGGGGGTGTGGATGACTGTCTGTCTGCCTCTGCCTATATAGATGGCAATGAGTAAGAAGGAAAAAAAAAAGTTTGTTGGGGCCCGGCAGTAAAAGGGCCTTTTTTTTTTTTACCTGGCGACAAGATAGACTGGAGGAGGGAGGGGGGACCTTTGGGTTTGGAGATGGGTAACGTATCACACAGCCAGTCAGCCCAAGATTCCCGACAACCCAACGTAAACCCACCCACTGGCACCACCCCACCACCCAACAAGCCACAAGGGGGGAGGATGAGGATGAGAAAAGCCGTTTCACCAAAAACAGTTTTGTGGGGGAGAGGGGGGGGGGGGGGATTTTCTTTGGGGTAGGTAGCATATCAGGCATGTTGTTGTTGTTAGGCTGTCACAAGCATTTCGTTGTGCTGCTCTCGGACGTCGGGCTTCCGTGAGAGAGAGTGATGGTTTTGGCTGTTCATTATTCTGCTTGCCCAGGTTTGTCTTAGGTTCGGATCTCCTCAACAAGAAATAACTGCTCAACATCCGGGGCAGGTTACGCAGTGGCCGTTGCGAAAGGGCGGACAGGGCAGGGCAGGGCAGGGCAGGCAGGGACTGCATACATACATGTACTGTAGACTACACTAAGGCTACGGCACTACCGCTAGGTTACGTCCATGATGTAGTGTGTAGTGTACTTGCTGGATATCACAACCCCTAGTTGTTACTCTCCAACAAGGTCCATGTCTGGATGTCTGATGTACTAGGTACACCTACTTAGAGTGCTCTCCTGCACGCATGTGGTTGGGTTATTTACCTATCTCCCCCCCCCCATATCCTCCCTCCTCCACATACCGGGCCCTCCTTCCTCTCCACCACAACTACATACCTTCATATACTCACCACCACCCACTACTGCTTGCATTACCACCACAACCACCAACCACAACCACCTGCAGCTGCAACTCCCTCCGAACGATAGAGAAGAGAGCAGATAGATAGATAGAGAGTGTGAGATAGATAGAAGAGAAGAGAAGATACCTAGAGAGTGAGAAAGAAAAACCCTTGCCGGCAGCCCCCGTTCTACATACCTACTCAAAGCCCACATACATACAACATACCTCTCTCACCCCCCCCCCCCCACCACAATCACTTTACCCTATCTACATACTCTTGACACGCCTTGCAGCCCTTTCCCCTCCGTCCCTTTCCTTCCCAAACACGTACATACATAGAGACTACATACAAACAAAACAAGCATCGGCCAGCCACATCTGACAGCTTCTCCTCCTATCTATAGTACCCACCACACACACAGAGACACACACACTCACTCACCCACTGCGACCTGTCATAGAAATACTACACAACATCCCATCCCCCCTACCCAACTTTCTTTTCGCTCTCTCTCCCACTACCAATCCTTAATCCAGGACGACCGACTACAGTTTCTACAGTCTAAATTGACAGCCGGTCTTAAACTACTACTACTATGCAGTATGTCAGGAGTCTCAGTGGTTCGGTCTCAAAGACCTGGAATTCGATAAAGTACATTGCCTCCCCCGTAACCTTCTCACCAACCCCCCCCCCCCTCCTTCCCCTAGGAGCTCTAGTTGACAGGTTTTCCACCACAGTCCCGCTACACTAAGCGGTGCTATCGACGTGATTGTAGTCGAGCAGGAGAATGGTAACCCCCCCCTCTCCACTCCTCTCCCCCGGCTCCTTTGTGGGCCCCTCATGCTTACCATCGGAAAACCACATAGGCGACCTCGCATGCTCCCCGTTCCACGTACGCTTCGGTAAATTCTCGCTCCTACGGCCGTCCGAGAAAAAGGCGAGTGCCCTCTCCACTCCCCCCCCCCCCCCCAAAATCAGGAAGTCGAGGAAGGAAGGTCTGACTGTGTGTGAGAGCAGGTTGAGTTCCGCGTAAACGGCGTGAAAACCGACTACCCCATGAAGCTCGGCGACGGCGGCGAGGCCTTCTTCGTGTTCGAGACGAGCTATGCTGTGCCGGCGGATATGCAGACGTCGCCGCTGGTCTCGCCGTCGGCGAGTCCCCGCTCAATGGCCACTGTGCCCGATCCGACGACGTTACAGGAGCCCGACTACCTAAGTATCGGCGATGGCGCCGGCATGGACAAGGACTTTGAAGGAGCCCTGCCAATTAACCCCAGAAGGGCGCAGAGCGATCTCGGTATGTGATTTATGGGCGGCAGCGGCAGCGGCAACGGTGGGATAGTGGGGGAGAGAGTGTGTGTGGGTCGGGTTTGCTGATTTTGGTGAGACTTACCAGGAGGACTTACGCCACTGAGTTCGTCACCGGAGAACAACCGCCCCGCGAGCGGCGATTGGAGCGGCGCTGCGGTGCACCTGGAGCGGAGCGCATCGGAGGATATACTCCCGAGCAGCAATCGCCGGTACACGCTTTCCGGGAATGGCGGGGGTCCGGTGCGCACGCGGTCGCCGCCGCCGCTCGAGCACGCTGCAGCGGTCGAGCGGGCGTTGGCGCTGTCGCGAAAGCTGTCGATCAGTAATATCCCCACGCACATCACCGACAGGGGTGACGTCATGTTGGACATGAACGGGTACAACCTGGATCAGGAGGAGTCGCTGCAGGCTGAGATGATTGCGCGCAAGATTCTGGCCGAGGAGCTGGACGGCGACTATGACATTGGGTCACTGATTGCGGCCGACCGGAACGGGAACCTGTGGATCTACTCGAGCGAGGATGCAAAGGAGCAGGCGAGCCGTGAGGATGGCGGCATTTCGCACATGTACGAGGCCGTGTCTGATCAGGGATACTCGTCGGACGATGCAAAGAGCGATTCGTCCTCTGGGTATGGGAGCACGAGAATACAGAGATTGTCGACGCCGCCTTCGACACCCCCGCTGCCGGGGCAGGAGACTACCGATGACTCAGTGAAGAATTACGCAAAGACTCTGAGGCTCACATCGACGCAGCTCCAGAGCTTGAACTTGAAGCCGGGGGCGAATGAGATCAGTTTCAGTGTCAACAAGGCTACCTGTACTGCTTACATGTATGTCTGGAAGCACGATGTTCCGATCGTGATTTCAGACATTGATGGGACAATCACAAAGTGAACTTTCCCCCCCCCCCCCTCTTCCCCCGCGTTCCGATCAAGATTTTGGGAGTAAAAAATGCTTATCGTGGGTTGTAGATCTGATGCGCTGGGCCACGTCTTGACCATGATTGGCAGAGATTGGACGCACCTGGGAGTAGCGAAGCTCTATACCGACATTGCAGCAAACGGATACCATCTGCTTTATCTGACCAGTCGGGCTGTAGGGCAGGCAGACACCACGCGGAATTATCTTAACGGGATTGTACAGGATAAATACAAATTGCCAAAAGGACCGGTGATCATGAGCCCGGATCGGACGTTTTCCGCTTTGAGAAGGTGTGTAGATTTTTTTTTTGTTTCCCCGCTTGTTTACTTGTGCATCTCTGCATAATTGAAGGAATTTAACTTATTTTTTCGCAATCGTGCAGAGAGGTATATCTGCGCAAGCCCGAAGTGTTCAAGATGGCATGCCTGAGGGATATCTTGAATCTGTTTGGACAGAACCATAACCCATTTTATGCGGGTTTTGGAAACAGGCTTACGGATGCGCTGTCCTACCGTTCCGTCAAGATTCCCTCGACGAGGATCTTCACCATCAATTCGTATGCCGAGGTGTCACTGGACCTACTTACGCTCACAACGTACAAAAGCTCTTATGTAAACATGAGGGACCTTGTGGACCACTACTTCCCGCCCGTCGGGCTACTGAGCCAGGATGAGCAGTACACGGATTTCAACTACTGGCGCGAGACCATTCCCGATCCGGAGGACTTCTCGGACAGCGAAGAGGAAAACGACGATGATGACGAGGACGATGAAGAGGAGGAAGAGGAGGAGGAGGAAGAGGGTGAGATGGGCGAGAGCTACTACGAGTCCGAGCCCGGCATGGGCGAGAGCTACTACACAGAAAACGCAGAGGACGGCGACGGCGAAGAGGAATATGACGATGAAGAGGAAGCCGAAGCCGAAGCCGAGGTCGAGGTCAAAGCCGGGGCCGATAATGCCGAAGACGACGAGGAAGAGGGCGAGCTCGATGACGACGAGGACGTCAAGCTCGCGGATAACCATGTCGAGGACCAGGACGATGTGGAAAAGGCGAAGGAGCGGAAGTCCATTGCCTCCAAGATCCCCGGTCTGGGGCTTGGCAAGATTGGGCTCAAGATGGATATCGACCAGGGCAGGCTGCACCAGGCCGTTGAGTTCGTCGAGAAGGAGATGGGCGGCATTGCCGACGAGGTTGTCCGTGAGATCCAGGTGCTGACGGAGAAGAAGGAGGAGCCAAAGACGGAGGAGGAGAAGGAGCCGGCCGGGGAGGGCATCGGTATCTAATCGATGGGGGTATGAAGAGGAAGAAGACCAGTGACTTGTAATTTTTGTTTTAGCCCTGCGCCCCCCCCCCCCCCCCCCCCGGGGGACCTTCTCGTTTCTCCTTGTTGGAATGCTCTTTTTATTTTGGATTATGGGTGTTTTTGTTTTTTTGTGTTTGGAGTAAAATTCATTGGGTTGCATTATTCATTAGTATTTTTTCTTTCTCATTTACTCTCTCTCTCTCTCTCTTTTCTTATTGTTTTTTCCTTTCTTACTGTTTCTTTTTTTTTTTACAAATCATCATGAGTTGGTACATTGTATTTTATCTCGCCTGTTTTTTCTGCTGTCTGTCTGTTTTGGTTTGCATTGGGTGAGGAGTGGGGTGTTGTACATGTAGATACATCTTCTCTCCGTTCATATCGGTTCGTGGCGATGATGGTGGTTGGGTGGTTGGTTTGGAGGGGGGGGGGGGGTGGAACCCGTGTTTATTATAATTCGTTGTCCGTTATTGTTGTTAGGGGCAGCATAGCATCTGTACATGCGCCGTAGACATTTCCATTTGCATTTTCCAATTTTTCTATTTTTCTTTACCGTTTCTCTGTCAGCACTAGGGGAGGGAGGTACCGTTGCACAAAACCACAATACAATACAATACATACAAGAAATCTCTTCTCTCTCTCTCCCTCTTGATCAACCGGCGCGGAGAGACCATCCGGGCGGGTGGGCGGGCGGGACACGACCGCTCACTCGGATCACTGTTCCCCCGTGGCATGGCATGTGAAGTATGAAGTTGTGAACGTATGTAGTTACCCCCACTCGCACCCGTCGGGCTGACATGTGATTGCGGCATTGCAAGGGTGTGGGATAATCTGGGGAGCTGTGATTGGGGGCCGGCGGTGGGTGTGGTGATGTGGTTGCCGAGGAGGCGAGAGGGAGCGCGGGGTGTGGCTGGACCCAATCGAGTGGTGGGACGTGTAGATTAGATATCCATATCTATCTCCATGACGTTGTGCCCCCCCAGATCTGTCAAGACCGGTGAGCGGGATCGGCGAAAGGCTTCTTTCCTGATGATCCCCCCCCCTTTTCAGTGACAGGCATGCGCTGAGAAGGTATCCCGGTCCCGGTATCCTCGTGGTCCCGTTGCCGGTGGTTGTCGATCTTTCTGATTTTTTGGGGGGGGAGCTGGACTGGGCTGGTGATCCCGAGGGAGGATGATAGTGGCTTTGTGGGGGGCATGGGTGATGGTAATGACGTAGATATCGGTGATGGGGACGTTCTTTTTCTGATGGGATGGGTGGGGGATATTGGGTTGGGTTGGGGGACGTTGGGTGTGGCTGGGAGGTGGCCGGTGGGGTTGAGGATGTCGAGAATTGGCGTCATGGGGCGTCACTCGATATTGCTTTTCTTTTTCCTCGCTCCGGGGCTGGACTGGGTGCAGGCGTATGCTGCTGGGATATGGGTCGCTTGCGGGTAAACAGGCGTCTGCAGCTGGCTGTTGTTGACGCCGGGTTAATTCATGGGCGATCACTCGGCGGTGTGGTGATGTACATGTATCCAAGCAGTCACTAGTGAGAATGGGGATGGTAATAATAGGGATTGTCTAGGGAAATCACTGTTGTGATTCCACAGAGTTACTTGCTACTTACATGTCATTAATTAACGAATTATCAATCAATCAATACTTATGGGTCATGAAGTGTCACTCGGTTATGGATGTTTTGGGGGGGGGGGGTGGTGTCCCGGATTTTTGGTCAGGGGTGGATTGTGCATGTGGACCGTGCACAAATCATCCACACCTCAACCCCTATCCACGCGCTGCTATTAATTCAGTTGCCTTGGCTCTCGTACCACTTGTTGATTGTGGTCAGTCATTGCGGCGGTTTTGGATGTTAATAATTTTATTGTAACCTGTACTTTTGTATTAGAGGTAGTTTGTCCTCTATAAAGAGAGAGCTCTCTCCGTTGTTTCTGCTCATCAGTTTCATTACAATGCATTCTCCATGTTCTCGGTTCTTTACTTTGCTTCGCAAGTTAAGAGACAATCCCCTCTCTCTGCCACAACTCCATTTCTTACTATGGTTACAGGAGATATAACCAGAAATAACTTACGATAATTACCATTACTATTGTCCACCTCTAATTTATACCCTCCCACTTGCGTTTCCCACCCCTCACTCTCCTCTCCACCACCTCCTCCCCCACCCCATAAAACTCAGCACAAAACCCACACTCACCCGCTCCACACGGCCCATACCCCAACCTCCCCTCACAGTGTCCCGCCCCAAACCCCTCCAATACCCTCTCCCACGCGCACCACCCTCGTCGGGCAACAACGCCACCACCCCACCCCACCCCTTCTCCTGCGCCACCCCCCTCGCCGTCTTCCCCCGCCCATTCACAACTCGCCTCGCTGCCCCCCATCCCAACAACACTCGCACCGTTGCCACACCGCCACACCCCGCCGCCAGATGCAGCGCCGTGTCCCCCGCCCGGTCAACACAATCGATGTCCGCGCCCGCCGCCAGCAGCAGCTCACACGTCTCCGCCCTGTCCCCCGCCGCAGCGACGTGCAGTGCCTGTATGCCATTTTTATCCACAGCGTCAATAGCGGCGCCGCCCCGGAGAAGCTCGGTCGCGGCTACTATGTCGCCGTGGAGCGCGGCGAGGTGGAGTGCCGTGCGCCCACCACTACCGGTGCCAGCGGTCAGCGGTGTTGCGGAGGAGGAGGCAAAGCTGAACGCCGGGCCTGTGGTGGTTTTTGTGCCCTGTGGCACGGTGGCAGCTTAATTTAGCTTAGCTGCGCTGCGCTGGGTATCGCCGGGAGGAAGGAGTGTGGGGTGTATGGTGTGGTGGACTTACGAATGTGAAGAGACTCATGATGCTGCGGGTAGGTTATTCACCGGTGTTTGGCTATAGATCTGGGGATGCGCGGCGGTGGGTTTTCCGGCTTCTTTTTATCTATATGGGCGGGCACTATCTCCCCGGCCACCCCCAGGGGGTTTGGGAAGACGGCGAGTGATAGGCTGTGATCGAGCGGCGCTAGCCGTGTGCTACTGGGCTAGGGGTGGTGACTCATGGGTGATTCATAGTGGAGGATGGGATCCGAGTGGAACATCCATGGAACAATGAGGTACGGAGCTAATAATTACTATAGGATATGGTACGCGCGGGGAAGGCCGCGCTGTTCTCTGCTTTGGGGGTTGTATGGGGTTTTTTTAAACGAGTGCCTTTAATTAATATGCTAGTACAGAGGGGGGGGGGGGGCGCGGGGTGTTTATCTTTTTTTGATCGATGGCGTTTTGACACATGTCACGGGATATCGTGTCAGAGATTAACCACCTAGCTGTTCTGTTCCTTCGCGATATCGGACACGCTAGGGACTGGTCGTCGTGTCAGCCCCGTCTCTCCATGACATGACAGGACAGGACGGAAGAAGCTTTGCAATTGAATTAGCCTGAAACTAGAAATACATAATTCTGCTTGTACACGCCACCCTTGGGAGCAAAAAGTCTCTCGAACCTCCGGCTGGGTAGAACATAAGGACGACCTTGAGCTTATCAGAGAAGGAGAACGGGGTTGTGCTGTATATATAAAGGCGGCCAAGAGGCCCTACAGTATATATCCGTGCAATGGCACACTACGAGACCTATATTAATAAGGATACTAGAGGGGAATCTTCAACCTTAGCTGCCCTTTTCACTACCGGGTGAGAATTAAAGGACACGCAAAACCCAGTACTCGGTAGAAAAGACCAGTACAGCCCACTCCTCATCCAGTCACCAAGGAATCCTATTTATTCACCGCTATAGTCTCCCTTTCCGCCGCTCAACTCCTCTGTATCTTTATACTGACTGGGCAACATTCCATAAATATAATCCACCAAAGAACCCGTTTTCTGAATTAACCAGCCAGGTCCTTTACACAACCCACACAACTCTAGCCCCAACGCTTTACACCTACCTCACTCTTTCAGAACTTCTTCTCTGACCGCCGTTCTTCCTCTCTCTATGCTGCCTTCTTACACCACAGATTCTCAACCAGAAACTGTCCCCCAGCTGGTTCGCCGGCAGCTGTGACCATGGCGTGACTGGACCACTCACTCCCTATATCCCGTTCTATTCCATTCCTCACCGGTGAAATAGAAGCGCATTGCATCAAGGTCGCCGTCGCGCTGATTGCTCCAGCAGCCTTCCTCCTAGGATAGAGTCCTCAATTATAGACCCACTCCTCAGCCGGACAGGACTACATACCAGCTGCCACCCCATTATGATTACGGGAGTAACCTTTGTCTCCAAGCCCAATATCAATGCTCGGTCAACACCAATTCCCAACCTCCACTAACCCACCGCCACCGCCCCCGAATTAATGAATTAAACAAAAAAAAAAAAAAAAACCGCCACCGCCCCAAACCGCCCCCAACCCAACCCTGCGAGTGATGCCCCATGACCCACACACTCACAGACCCTTATACCCTACCCTACCAGGGAGTGACTCACCAAGCCCCACCATGCTGGTCTGTGTCCAACGCCCGCGCCCATGACTCAAACAACAAGACGCGACAAGAAAAGAAAAAAAAATCCACTTTACGCGTACATGGCTACTCTATGTACCCCTGGTGCTATTTATCCCCAATTGAGTTCCCCCGCGTTATGCTTCGGCTCGATATTGTAAAGTACACTAGGCTGGCTACCAGCGGACAGCCCCCACGGTTGATACCCGGGATCTAAACCCGTGGAAAGTAGAGTACTCTACATACCTACATGACCTACTCTCGCACTCAGCTAGGTTTATATCTAGATGTAGGTATATAATAGACACCGGAGCTTGTAAATGTAACCCAAGTTTCTCAGGGGACTCGACACAGATCGATATCCGGCGAGAAGAGGGGAAAGAGCGAGTGATAGTGCAGCGACAGCCAATCCAAAGCCAGCAGTACTGCTTCGGGTGTTACTGCCTACTCTGGAACCAACAGCGACATGCATCTTCCTCACCGTTTTGGGATACCTGGTGCACATCAATGGTGTGTTGTAATAAGGACGCGACAAGGCAGCTCAGAAAAGACGCGTGAAGCTGTAGTTTAACAAATTTAAACAAAGTCTCCCCGAAAGCTACGGACTCTGTATACTTCGTAGTAACTTATTGTCTATCATCTCATTCAATCTATCCCCCGAACAGTTGAACGCACATGCGAAGCTTTCCTTAACCATGACGAAGCTCCTATGCTGAGAACCAAAGAAAGAGACCCAACCATACCAAATAAAACCCATATCTTCACAAACCGCTACAACCGAAGAAGGAAAGAATTAAAGGAAAAGTGGTTCCCCCTAGAATGCGAACTTTAATTTAATTTTATCAATTATATTCTCTCCTTCTCATCTTTTAGAAACCACAAGAACAAAGCAACCGAATTGTCGTAGCACAAGAGACTCATTTCCCCCATTTATCCCTGGCTAGTCCCAGTAAAAAGAAAAGTTAAGATAGGAAAAAAAAGGAAACGAGATCGGACAAGCTGGCGACGCTGGGGAAAATGACGAGGGCATGGGACATCGTGATCCGATCATTATCTTTTGGGGTTCGTAGCATTTTCTCGTTTACAAATCACTATATCAGACATTAGCGAATGTATACTTAACGTTAGAACAAAACCAGTGGGACAAAACATACGCATCATCTTCATCAGGCAGAGGGTGCTGGGCAGCCTCCTCCATCTCCTTGTTGTAAGCCTCCAAGAGGGTGTGGTCGACGGAGACCTCAGGTGGGGCCAATGCTGGGGAAGCAACGAACTCAAGGCCGGGGTTACCGACGAGCTTTCTAGCCAACCACAAGAAGGGCTTCTCGAAGTTGTAGTTGGACTTGGCAGAGATGTCGTAGTACTGGAGGTTCTTCTTGCGGTGGAAAGTGATGGTCTTGGCCTTGACCTTACGCTCCTTGACATCGACCTTGTTACCAGTGAGGACGATGGGGATGTTCTCGCAAACTCGGACGAGGTCACCTGGGGGAGAAATCGATATTAATATAAGATTCCTTTACTCAAAATGAGAGTAATCTCGAGAGGGGAAAAAAGAAAAAAAAGAGGAAGCTTACGGTGCCAGTTGGGGACGTTCTTGTAGGTGATTCTGGAGGTAACGTCGAACATGATGATACCGCAGTTACCGTTGATGTAATAACCATCTCTTAGTCCTCCGAACTTCTCCTGACCAGCGGTATCCCACACATCGAACTTGAGTTCACCGTAGTTGGTGAAGAAACCAAGAGGGCTATAGCAAATCATGTTAGCACTGAGGCTCATCCAGTGTCTACAAAAGAGTACTAGCGCAACATAGCGCCACAAGACGCCGAATTTTCGTGAAAAGTAATACTAGGGAACAGAAAGAAATAAATGGATTACATACTGAACCTCGACACCGAGAGTGGCAATGTACTTCTTCTCGAACTCACCAGTTAAATGGCGCTTGACGAAGGTGGTCTAACCGCCCCCCAAAAATTTGTTAGCAACCAAGATCTAGTCTGATTTCAAAGTTTGATAGACTTAGATCAAGGACATCTTAATCCACCAAAGTTAAGCGGTGATAAAGATGCAAGCCTTACACTCCTGGCTGCAGGGGATGGGGGATGGGGGGATGGGGGGATGATGGTGATGATGATGATGGGAAACAACGTGCACGGCAATAACCGCGACAAGAACGCGAAGGAATATAAGAAAAGAGAGAGAAAAAGCATACCTTTCCGGTACCACCATCACCGACAAGGACGAGCTTGAAGGTTGGGACTGCAGAGACGGGAGCTTGAGTGGCCATTTTTGAAAAAATTAAGTGTCGCGTGAAGTTAGAGTAAAGGTTGTCTTTGAGAAGACGCTAGCGATAAGTCGTGATGAATTCTTGGTGAAGGGACAGGATATGTTAGTAACCCAAACCAAAAGAAAATGATAGGAACGGGGAGATGTATTTATTTAGTAAAGCTTGGAATATAAATACCTTTTGTCTGATGGATGAGGAAGAGAGAGAGAGGAAAGAGGGAAAGTTGGCGTCGTTGTGGTGGTGTCCAGGCGTTATGTTATGTAGACGTGTTTGGTGAGGGGCAGAAAAAGAGGGCAAGGGAAAAGAGAAAGGGGAGGGGAAAGCCAGCAGGCCAACAACTTGCAGTATGATGACTCGCTGGCTGGGCGTGGTCGCTGGCCTGGCAACCAAAAATTTTCTGGCAGGCTCTGGACGAACAATCTGTTCTTGGCACTACAAAAATAATGGCCAATGATGATTGGTGATGTAAACCTAACCCTTCGATCGGAGGGGACAAACACAGGATTGTTTTGCACGATCTTCCAATAGCCTGCACTATATCGCTCGATGATCAAAATTAAAAAGAGCTGCTAAAAAGAAGACTTTGTTAGGCAACTTTTGAAAGAACAACAGCCAGGCACCCAACCGGCATAGACGCAAACTGTATTATCAAGGCACGCAAGCGTTTGTCATTTCGATCACGTGGAGATACATTCCTCTTCTTTAAAAGTATAAGTGTAATTTCTTTTACGTAGGCAGGTGGGTAAATCTCCATTTTCCTAAAAAAAGCTTGTAGAACCCAAAAACAGATTTTCCTTACTACACATAACATCACTCATCTAACAATTAAAGGTCACGCAGCCAAAGGGACAACAATGTACTGACTGTACATTCTGAAATAATAAATAAATACTTATGTATCCATGTCTTTAGGATGACGTAATAAACAAAATAAAGTTCCAAATTCCAACACCGGGTATCGCCCATACCATCATACAACAGGAAAAAGAAAAAAAAAAGAAAAAAACAATTCAGATAAATACTTGACAAAAAGAACGCCATCGCAAAAATAAACAGGCACGGATTTCGAGCCATCATAAATGGATAAAGAATTAGAAACTATCACCAGGAGTTAGCAAGGAAAATCAACTCAAGGATTATATAAAAATGGGATACTAACTGTTCCTTCCAGAAACCAAAATTAACTTCCGGCGTCGACGCCGCATTACATGCCTTCCTGATATCTCTTGCTGCTACGCTAGGTCCGCAGAAATAGACACCAACGTTTGTCTTCAGAGTACCTTCTAATCCAATATAGCTTTGATCCATGATCCCATCCCTCATTGTGGCGAAAAGTTTCGGAAAGTCGGGACGCCCATATTGAGTACCGGTTCTAAGCTGGGTTAGCGGGTCGACTTCCATCCCAACACTGTTCAACACAATGTTCTGTGCGGTGTCGACATCAAGTCTTTGGGTGAGATATGTGTGGATACGCAAGAAGTCGGTGGAGTTGGCACCCCCTTGTCTCTCGAGCGAGGAAAGAAGCGTTTGGAACCACTCGAAAGAAGAGATATCACGACAGACCCAAATAAACTCAACACGACGGAGACGCATGTCAGAACCCCCAGGTGCGTTGCGTTTATGCCAGATGCTCTTCAAGATAGATGCCCAAGGAGTAACACCGATACCTGTACCGATGAGAACAGCAATCTCATTATCAAAGACATCCTCTGCAGGTGCACCGTATGGTCCATCAATTCTAAGGGTTGGCATCTGGGCTCCATTCTGACAGGCAATTTCGTATTGCCCCATAGGATCTAAATGTTCGAATCCTTTTGCATCTGCTCCAGCGCCAAGCATGTCTCCAAGAGTCTTGGTGAAATCACCAACTTGTCTGATGTGAACTGAAATATAGGGGTCTGATGGACACGAGGTGATCGTAAACGGGTGCCATTGGTACTTTGAGATGGCTGGGACGTTGAGGAAAAGATATTGGCCGGATTTGTACTTCATTGAAGACTTTTTGAATTGAAGCTCCATAGCACCTAAACAAAAATTTATTAGTATTCTTGATACTGTAGAGAGCGAAATTTGTTAACGTACCGTACGGGTGTTTAACCACTTTAGTGATTTCAGTCTGTTTTCTGGCCCGGATTTCCCTCCACACACGCTCAAAGAAATAGATGCCAAAAGTCCAAAGGGTAAATCGCCAGCTTTGATATCCAATGCAATGCTTCCAGAAGATGTCACCATCGAAGGGGGAGAATGGCTCAGCAGTGTCACGTACGAAACACCCAACAGCGTGTGTATAAAGGGCAAGGATGAAGATAAGAGCAAGATGGTGGGTATACCAAAATGCCTCAAAGCACTGCTGGCGAATCTTGTGATGGGCTGTGGTGTACATAAGAAGCATACAGAAAAGCATGACATGACCAGTGATGCCACCAGCTTGGGTGTAGTGAATCTTGATGGCGGTGGTAGGTCGAATTTGTGATTTTTCAACGTTAAAGAAGCTAGAGACCTTTAGTTCGTTTTCTTAAGAGATATGGGTGGGGGTTTACAGACTTGACGTAATGAGCTGTGGTGTGGATGATTGTGAATAAAAGCATGGTGTACGCAGTCTGCCTGTGAAACCACCGACTTTCGTCCAAAGGCAGCCACTTAATCTGCGGTCTAATAACTCTGAGGATATTTCTGCACATTGGCAATAAAATCAATCCTCCATCATATGAAAGTGCTAATCCTGCACCTCGGGACATCCAAACAGAAAACGTGAGTGTATTAAGCCCCGCCAGCTTGGGATCAACAGCTTGTTTCCACCTATGTAGAGAACCTTTTGGTAAGTGTATATCATGGAATAATTGGACATTGCGACTTACCATCCAAAGGCGAAAAGGCCCCAATGCGAACCCCACCAAAATATCCAAAATAATAACCTCCTCCCGGTGAGCTCTCTTTTTACCCACGACTCGGCTGCAGAAACTGCCATCTTATTTTTTATTTTTTATTTTTACTAGCGCTGAATAATTAAAGATATAGTTTAGCTTTAGTTCCTGTTGTAAAGGTCGACCCGCGACAAACACACGATTCGAAATGAATGTTGAGAGATAATTTGTGTTCAATTATGACAAAAGCAAAGGGTGGTTTAATGAAATATCTTTGAGTTCCTCTTGGTGAACCTCGGGGAAGAGAAGAGTAAAGAGGAGTTGGATGAGAGGAAGGGAGAGGCGAAGGTGGTATCAGAGGCCAATAAGGTAAGGTAGAAAGATAGTGGAAAGCTAGACGGATATCAAGGAGAAGGGATTTTGAAGGGGTCCTACCAGGAGTAATATGCGACTTGGTTCCAGGAGTTGTTGTTTAAAGATGTTCCCCGTCGACGTCAGGGAGCTTAAGTTTCTTGGACCAGCCTTGACCCGATGAAGGGGGTTGACACAGTCAACCGTTTGCTAGATTGCGAGGAGGCGGTTTTAAAGATTGCAAATCACCCAAGCACGGGGTAGATGCTGCGACTTAAGTTTGTGAATAAGAAGGAAAGATGTCGAAAGCTGTAACGATCTCCTTAATCCGCAGAGAATTTTCGATTGTCGGGGCTGCCAGATACTAGGTTCCTGGCACAATGGTATCCGGGTCAGAGGGGCCCGGGGATCAGGAGTACTTGTATGAGTAAGTAGGAGCCCGAGTCTACGAGTGATTCAGGGACGTCAAGAAAAAAAAATATTGAAGCGTAGGCACGTCACACGGAGTTAGGGCTCCCTCTCACAATTGTTGGTGCAGCAGGTGGGGGCAATGTGGCATCGTGCACTCTCGGTAGAGACTGCAGCTGGGAGGGGGCAATCGCATCATGATATTGTCGCCGTCGAGAATATTGGGACACCAGGGCCAACAGAGTCGTTGAAGCGCTACCAGATTTTGCAGGGGAATGAGTGGACAGAACTTGTGTGAGGGGAGGCACAGTTATCAAAAACGCTTCCACTTTTGGGTATTTGGAAAAGCCATATTAGTTGCTACTAAGAAAAGGTTGATCGTATGTGGGAGGTTCGCGTGGCTTGCAGCCTTGTTGTTGGCCAAAATGACCCAAATTTGGACTAAACCTCAATATTAGCCGGCCAGGGTCCCGTCGTACTAAAATCGGTTCCTTACAAGCGAATAGGCTAGCTGTAGGTACCGCTGCACCGCAACTTTACTTCATCGCTCATTCGTGTTCGTCCACACAGCGTCTTCTTCCCTGCTAGCTATCCATTCACCCCGATTTCCAACATCTTAACATCTTGGAGCTATTTGAGTCGTCCCATATTGACTCCCAAGCATACAGTAAGGAGGAAAAAAAAATCTCAGTCCACTGCAGCTAGCAAATCATCCCACATAACTCCATAACCGACCCCATCTATAACCCCCACTCCTGTTCTCTGTGATTTGTTATGAAAAACCCAACATTTGAACTTTCACTGATACGATGATAAGAAAGCGTCCGGGGGTTAGTGCATGATGGCATCACTCGGGATGGGGACAAACGATAATGACCTCGGGAATCTCATCGATTGAAAAGTCGCTGCTACTTCCTCATTGTGGGCATTGGCCAGCTGAGGGTAGGTACATGGTACATACAGACAGCACTCTACAGTGCTAAGACATTTAAGCGCCGTGAACATCATCAATCATGTTCAGTTCACGTGCCTGCAAGTAAGCACCCCTGGCAGCGACTGGGGGCCGAGATTTATGCAGACGGGGAGATGGCCTGTGGTTTCTCTGCTCCTAGATTCTGTTGAAGTTGGTACATAATAAAAAAAATCAATACACAGATTCATCTGTGGTAGGTAGCTTCATACCTGATCCTGATGGTACCATTTCCTCAAACAAAATTTCAAAACGTCGGTCTCACTATAATACACAGGTATAACGGTTGTTATGTACCCGTCAACAATATTGTCTAAGGTTGATTGCAACTTTTCTCATTCTAGAACCATGGTGGCTCGTTGCCCTGGCGCAAGCAGACGTACTTGCTGAAATGACGGGATATTGGGTCCAGATGTGTAGCGCCCAATGATAGTCCAGACCAATGCCGTTGGGTAAGCCTACTGTCTTGGGACTGTTGGCGGATCGAGAGATTCCATTGGGCTTTCATAGCTTGTATCGCCTTAGAGTAGAAGAAGGAACCAACATAGATGAGAAGCGAGATGCGTGGGGCGGACGAGCCAATCGCCCTATCTCGGATTTTGTCTGCCGAACCCGATCGGTTCGCTCACTGCTAGAATGCCAATGTCTCTTGAGGAGATATTCATCAAGCACTGACGAATAGGCGTCCCCGATGAGTGCGGGGTGATGAGGACCAAGAACCAACATTCCTTTCATTTTTTTTGAGTGGAGAAACTTAATGTATTACTATTCTGACAAGCAGATACTTTAGTTAAGGGCAGCCACCATCTCATACTTCTGTTATGCCAATCAACAGGGTTTATCGAGCGCTCTTCGTACCTGGCATAGTCGGATAATGGGAGGCGAGACCCTATGGCCTGTGATTGATGGAAGGCCTGCAGGGTGCAGTAACGCATTTACCACCTCAACCAACAAGAAGTCGTTACGCTACTATGCGGGAGATGGTGAGTGATTTACATATGCGAACCCATGTCCGTAGCCCAGTCCACAAAGTTAAGCGAGAGCGCCTATCCGGCATATTAACGCTGAAACCCATGTCGTTTTACTACAATAGTATCATACGCTGTTCCGTTTTAGGATCCCAGACCTGATTCTGCACGCTCGTCGCACATCGGGCTCCTAAACTTGGACCACTCAACCCCTGTAATTCATGGATTCATGTGCAAGTGACTTAAGGGTATGGCGCTATCGATGGTCTTTTTCTATTCCGGATCTCCCGCATGTCCTTTCCTTTCCTCCACTCCAAATTCTGAATTCACTGGCTGCGTTCTTGCCCATACCAACCACCAATTTCTAATCTCGTCAGCACCCCCGCCCGCTGCTGGCTAATTCTGTAAAGTGCTACTATCCCAAGGCCTCGGGTTACTACTGGTTATTGGCTTTTCTTTTCTTTTTAATCTTTCACTCTTATTTGTGCCACACCTCCGCCTCTATCCTTCATCTTTTATATAACCATCGATACATCCGAGTCTGTGACAGGTTCACTTCCCGGGACAAACGATCAACTACTCTCTGAGCCTTACTCATCCCTAAAACTCTTCTAGAAAAGATAAACAGCTTGCTGTTTCCACCTTGCTGCAAAAAGTAGTCTATTGATCAAGCTTCTCGAATAATTCTTCAATCTTCAATACGTGAAAATCGGATTAGCCAAAATGGGAAGACTCATCAAGAATCACCTCGCCCGTCTCATCATCCTCACTGCTGCTACCTACCAGATAGCCGCTGGGATTCATGGAATCTTCTGGCCTAAGATTTTTTGGGACATGTGGACAAAGTACGATTCCAAACTTTATCGAAAAGAAAATCCAATTTCTAACTGAATATCTAGAACTCTAGATGTGGCGGTTAAGCCTGCTCCAATTCTCCAAATCTTCAATATTCTATTCGGAATAATGGGGGTTTGCTGGGAATACCCACTACCGCTCATTATTCCCAACACTGCTTTCCACCGAAGTATCGCTGCTAGACTTGCACTATATCCTCTCTCCATCCTCGCCGCTGCTCTTCTCTACCAGGGAACAAACGCTGCGATTTACTACCTTGTTGGGCTTGCTATGTACTTTTGGGCTTACAGTGAAGGCGAGGTTTGTAACCCCATTTCTCGGAATAATAAAACGATCCAAATATTAACATACTCCAGACTGTTTGCATGCCATGGAAGCTTCCTGAGCGTGCTAGGCCCGGTGCCAACAAGGCGTAAATCATAAAATCCAACCTCTAGACGAGTATACCGGATATGTACCACCTTATTGTTTATTAAATTTTCGACCCCCTTCGAGTGGGGAAAAGTCCTATACCATTTTTCACCCAATACGATAACCTTACTGTAAATCGTTTATTCTTTTCGGCCATCTTAATTCCAGTGTGGCAACTTCCATTTCGACAAATCTCTCCTTTATTCAACATTTCGGCAAATTATTTTATCTCTTAGTTTTACTGGCGCATAGCGGTTGTTTCTTTTTCGATACCCAAATGGATGATTTCTTATACTATCTTTTTTATGGACATGGTTCCTGGTTTTTGGGTCGGTTTCTGGTGTTAGAGTTTTTGCGAGGGTTTGTTTATTAGTGTGCGTTATGAAATCGCAGGGCATGTACGAGGAAAGTTCATGTCGAGATATATTGTGGTGCTGAAGACCCACATTTCCTTTTCTTTGTATGGATGTTATAACACGGAACGTTTCGGCCCGACCATCAACTTCGGTGTGTGTTTCGCATCTTCCATAACGCTCACCGTCAACAATTTTCGGATACAGATCGATCGGGTTTAGAACGATTTTATTTTTCTTATATATATTTCCCGTTGTGGATTTTTTTTATTTTTGATAGGGAATAATACCCTTGACTGGGCTAACCTTTACACTCCTTTTTCATTTTTATTTTTTGAATTAGCTTTGTACCTATTATGTAGTTGGGTTGAGTGTTTTTTGGTTAGAGCTTCGAAAAGCTGGTTGGGATCGGGGTTAATGAGATCATTATCATAAATAATATCCTTGGTCAAAAGTTTGCTCTCAGATATCAAATTCCGAAACGTTAGTCCCGAAAGCCCACGGGAAGTCTAAAACCCACCTGCCAAAAATGAGTTCCAAAGCTTAACATCTCGGGATCTTGGTGTTTGAGGCTCCATCGGCAGGTTTTGAATTTCGAATGTCACAGCACGCAACTATTCTGACGTCGGAGTACTAGTATTGCGTAACCAAAACCTTATTCTCAACGGTAATTGCACTTTTGCCCCTCTTTCAAACTCAGGTACCGTGCGTGCCAACCGTACCAGCGTCTAGGATTTTAAAACTTGCCTCGCCTCAGCTGAGCCTCAAAGCATTGGCGACCGTTATCGTAATGAGACATTAACAAGTAACAATATGACTCCATCTTCAGGAGACATAAACTCCATTAATGCCTCCTCCTGAGTAAGTACTGGCATCTCCTGTCTTGATCGCGCCGAATGCTTGTTGGCGCTAGTGTTTGAATGCAGATATGGCGGTGTTGCACTACGTCTATTGGCCAGACGACAACCATACCAGCGTTCAGTTGGATCCCCCGTGTGGCGTCCCCCCTACGTAGAATAAACCCATATTTGTAACTACAGTACATGTAACCACGTACAGGCTACAGCTAAACGCTGGGCGTTGTAAGGCAAACGTCGTGCCTGAGCCTCGAGAAGTCAGGCAAGCTTAGTAAGGAGCGGCTAGCTGGTCACAACACAACTCAGGTGGTTTTGTATACGTTTGGCTCTTCTTTACTGGGTGTGTGTAGTCATCACGCCACTGATAATTAAATACTTCTTGGGATCACATTTGATCAGTCGAGAACTAGGCGCCTTGGTAAGGGTAGTGTTGTGTTGGCGGCAGGCGAGTGATAGGCCATGAACCCATGACCGAAAATATGATATACGTCTGGGATAGCATTGCTAAATATTGTTGGTTACATTATTTATTGTATACAACCTGCGGGCTTTCTGGGATCGCATGTCTAAGGTGGTAATTAACTGCGGTCTTCGAGTTAGCTTCATGAAAGAGTATACCCTTGATATTAGCTATTTGTACAATTGTTTCATGAATTCAATATAGTGGCCTGAGTGACGAGATACATACTTACAAGATAGAAGGTTTTTAAGAACCATGATATATGCCAATTTTCTCGTAAGGTATATGTATGAGATTTGCTTATAAAGCTGAAATATTTACAACAGCTGGACGAATCCCGAAATATCATATGAGGGACTTTTCTCAGTCTTAAGTTCACCCAAGCTGGTTAGTTTCCGAGAACCTCATTGATTGATTGACTTATATTTCATTACGTACTTCCGAGGGCATTATAATTATCTTAATGATGTTGGTTTATAGAAAGTACTAGTCGGGGACATGACCGTTATCGAATGTAGGTACTATGTGAACATGTAAATCACAATATATTGATAATAGATTTGCTTTGTACTACATCCCCACATGTCAAAAAACAATGAAATTCCCTTTAGGCTGCAGAAATATATATTCCAACGATAATATTAAACTTCTAGATCTTTATTAAGGGGGAACGCCGCCCAGAGGCCGGGTAATGATAATAATTCATGTGCACCAAAGCTAGGCATAATAATAGCGAGCGCGAGGCCCAGTAAGTTAGTTAGCGCTCGGCTGATTACTTTCTGCCTCCATGCGTGGCACAGTCGATCTGGGTCGCCCCACTATGGGGGACGCGGATGCTCATTACGGCTGGTTGCTGGTACCGGTGCAGAACGCAGAAGGTACAACGGCTTGTTTCATGCTTCCGCGGCCGTGGAGCATGGCATGGCATCACATGAGTCTAGCTGTGGAAGCTCGGAGTACGTTGAATATTATTAACGTTTCTATGAACTCACCAGTAGGGAAATAGCTGTATGTACATGTATGTACACGCAGCCGTTACCAACTACATGTATCCCATAGCACGTTTTTTTCTGACTCTACTCACGCGCGCACGAGTACCACGATTCCATCCCTCATCTTTCCGGAGTGTCGAGGGTTTGAATGGGCCATAGAGGAAATATGCGTGGAAAGTAAGTGAGCTCGGCCGATCATAATTATCCTTTATCATGACCCCGGGGTTTATAGATATGCTTCGTTATCAAAGAGAATGCAGCGGCCCGGTCTATGAATCGGAGTTTTTCTTCTCATTATGTGTCTCATTGGTCAAAATAATGCTCCGGGAACTGACAGATAACCTTGTGGCTGACACGGCATATATCATGGGGAATTCAGCAACGGGGCACGCGAACTTGAGATAACTAATGGACACGTGCCCGATACCAACGTTGCTCCAACTCTATTCAATTAACCCGGGCTTCGATTATGATTCAGTAAGCCTTCCCACTGTTATAAGAGGGCACCATAGAATTCATGATATGAGCAAACCTACATCCTGAGACCACATCGATCGGGATTTAGTGCAACTCGCTTTGGGCTTCATAGGACATATGATCTGCAATTATATAATATCATAGGCCTAGGTACAGTGTTTCCACAGATATTTCGTTGGTAAACCAGAGGCTTTCTCGTTTGTTACCAGCCAGAATCGTACAGTACAGTGGACTGGTAATTCACATGGCTTGGTGAACAAAGAAGCTTTAGCCATTGCCTTTCTGGAAGCTTTTGAACATTATTCACTGCCTCGAACCTTTTCTTTGAAAGAAATTGATGGCCGCAATTCAGTGACATTCCCGTACGGAGGAAATAGAACAACCCTTTTATTAAAGAGCTTGGTACAGTACAAACATTTACGTCCCATGTAGAGTAAAGTATCTGGGTGTAGGGGTAAGCCTTTGAATTTAGACCAATCAGTAACTTTCATTTACCAATTGAAAACCTCGGCGTACTCGTGCCAGATGTAAGGTATATATGCATACATGTATCCATAGAGAATATCGCACGAGTAAAACTAATTCCGTGAGTGGGCGAAAGTGAGTGCTAGACAGGATAATCACTCTTGTGTTACAATGCGCTGATTTCGGTTTATTGTGTATCTGAGGAAGAAAGCCGAATCTGCCCCAAGTAACTCAGCGTTCTAATCCCATATCACTTCAGCTGCAGTTTACGCATTTTTAAACTCATATTTGATAATAAATTGTTTTAAAGAAAGATTATACTTATACTCCAAGTGCATGTATTTATATCGATGTAATATGATAAGCTTATGGTTAAGTGGTTAATGTTTAGAACGTTTTGGCGAAACCCACATTTTCAAACCTTGAGCTCAACTCTTGAGCTCTTGGCGGCTATCCACACAAAAAACAAGTCGCCAAGAACTAAGTATTTAGACTCAGAAGTTGGTTGCCAAAACGGGGCGTGCCAGTTATGCTCGATATTCATGAAATATCACTCGATTATAGAAGTGCTCCTTGATTTAAAATTTAAAAGATGAAGCTGAGCTCGAGGAGAATTGAAAGAAGGATGAGATAGTAATAAATCAAAAGGAAGAATTTTCCAGCATACGTAACTGGAGCGAAAGTATATATGTATATATAAACTCGGCGAATTTTCTAAAGTTTAACAGCCGGTCCCTGTCTTTATCTCACAACACGAGTAGCCTACCACTTATTCTACCCTCGAGATATCGATACCGTATGGGGCTGGAACGAACGCCCCCGAGTGGAGTTTGGGTGACAACTGTCATGAACCTTCTAAGAACAAGCATTTCAGGTCCTTCGTTGCTTCACGGGCCATCCGTGTTTCTCGAAATATTGTAATTAAGCTTTTAGACACCTCACAATTGGATCATAGCTAACGGGACTTAGATATAATTTGGCGTACGTATCGTCCGTGTTTCGCGGATTCGGGCTGTACTGTCATCGCTTTGTCTGTTTCGCTACTTGCATGTGATTGACTTTTCAATAGCTTCACAAATGCCAAGGATATCTACTTGGGAGAAGCAGAGATAAACAAAGGTGCTCTAGATAGTTATGTATCATGAGAATCGAGGCACGAGTACTCAACTCATGCGCAGTTGTGCAGCTGCGCCTCGAGCACTGGTCTTGTTTGCCATATGTGCATGTCCCATATTTGTAAGCAAGTGGCGGGTGTCTGCCCTACCCTTGTATCACCAATGGATTTCGCCCTGCAGGCTTTCTTGCAGGACGTATCACCGATACACACAAATACACGAGTAACTGCGCCTCGATAGATTAACATGGTCGCTGCTTGCAAAGTGGGATTATGGGGTGAAAGCGAGTTCATTCTTAGAATTTATATGGAAGGCTGTAGAATAGTATTCGGACCAAGCAGCAGGTGTTTCTGGAGTTATAAAGCGTCATCTGGTCAGTTGCCTGCATACCAAGCCAGCTCTCCGACGTCAACCCCTCCACACCCCCGTATAAACCCTTCCCCTTCGAACACCGATCCTCCACGACCACGACCACCACCACCATCGTTATCACCACCATCACTACCGCCCACCTCGCCATCATCAAACAACCCTTTGAAAGTTAAAGCTTTCATAAGGTCCCAATATACCCAGGATAAGAAGCTTGTTTTCTTCCTCATCTACTTTCGCACCCCGCAACACCTTTGTTCTCGCTATATCGCCTCCTGGGCAACTTTTAATCAAAAATGTCTTCCAACGAAAATTCTTCCGAGAGGCCCTCCTCTCCTTCAGAAGCCCCCCCGCTGAACCCGTGACATTCTCCGTCAAATTGTCCAACGACAACAAGTTCCCGATATCCCTCCCTCCTAACACGTCGGTGCTAGACCTCAAGAAAAGGCTTGCCGAGCTTTCCGACGTTCCAGCCGATAGACAAAGACTTATCTATTCTGGCCGTGTAATGAAAGATGAAGAAACTATAGGAACTTACAAGATCCAATCTGGGCATACAGTTCACATGGTCAGGGGTGCTGCTTCCAATGCGCAGAGAGGTGCTGCTTCGGGTGGCTCAGCGAATGCAGAAGCAGCAAACAGACCGGGTGTACCGGTGAATCTTGCAGCGGGGACTGGAAACAACCCACTTGCGGGGTTGACGGGGGCGAGATATGCAGGCCATGTGCAGTTGCCAAGTGCAGAGATGTTTGGACCTGATGGAGGGGTGAGCGTCCTTCCGACCCTACTCGCCACTTAGAATCTATGCCGTTTTCTATGTTTTACAAAGCTAATATTTTATCAATCTAGATGGGCCCCCCACCCGACCCAGAGCAGCTTGCCCAGGCCATGAATAACCCTCAATTCGCATCAACAATGAACGAAATGCTTCGAAACCCCCAGCTTCTTGATTACATAATCGCATCCAACCCTATGCTTCAATCGCTTGGACCAGAGGCTCGCCGCCTTATGAATAGCGACATGTTCCGTCAAATGATGACCAACCCTGATGTCCTCCGACAAATGGGTCAGATGGGCGGTTCCCTTGGTGGTCGTGGTTTTGGTGGAATGGGTGGTGCGCCTGCGCCGTCCTTCCCGGAGCCAGGGAGAACAGATACAACCCCCGCTCCTGCCGGTCCGGAGGGGCCTACTACAAACACCAACCAACCTGCTGCCGGTCAACCCAATCCATTTGGAGCTGCTGGTGGAGCAAACCCCTTCGCTGCTTTATTTGGTGGACCTCCTCCTGCTAGTGGGGCAAACGCACAATCACCAGGTGCTGGTGGAGTTCCACCACATCCGTTCGGAATCAACCCAGCGTTGTTGGGTATGCTTGGCGGCATGAATCCTGCAGCAGGCGGTCAACAGGCTCCATTGTTTGATCCAGCTACAATGAATGCTTTGCTTGGTGCCATGGGACAAGGAGGCGCACCATATGTCGGTTCCCCGCCTCCACAGACCCCAGCAGATACCAGACCACCAGAAGAAAGATACGCAGAACAGCTGAGGCAGCTTAATGACATGGGTTTCTTTGATTTCGACAGGAACGTAGAGGCTCTTAGAAGGAGTGGGGGGAGTGTACAAGGCGCTATCAATCAATTGTTGGGTGGCTAGTTTAGTGGTTTGGCAATACGGGGTGGTTGATGTGTAAGGCGGAAATCTAAGCGTTTTTTCTTTCTTTTTTTCTTGAGCCCCCAATTTTCTCATTGGTTGCATAAAATTGCAAATGACATATCTATCCCCAGCTTTCCCCTTACAATGTGCATGCCGTTTTTTTGCCTTTCTGAGCAATAAAGGGTACTGTAAGCTAAGACGCATATAAATTCCAAACGTTCATGTAACCTCGCCACTGGCAATAAGATACGAAAATGCTTTTAATCCTTCAGCGATGTGAGCGATAATATATATAGTGCAAATAGTATGACTGGCAGCTTGACACCTCGAATCCCACCAGGTAATCACCGGAAATTAACGAAAAGCTTCTAGGTTTGTCTAAACACCCTTTTCTCACGCCCCGGGTTCTTTCAGCGCCGCTGTCCATCTTGCTGTAATATTGTGACTAATGTTTTGAAATGCTTAATAAAAAGGCTGGAGTATGACTAATATTGTTCAGGCGCCTTGTCTACAGATACGGCTTAGCGAAAAATATAAAAATTATATGCTACATACCCTGAGGGTAACGAATAATCCTCCTTTGTCTATTCTACTCGCTGGAAAGAGCTGCCATGTTGTCCAATGAATATCGAGAGCGGCAGGTTAGGTTGGTTCAAGTCGGGATCACTGGACTTATAATTGTAGGTTACTGTTAAAAGGTGGTATGTAGTTTGCAATTTATAGCCGTCGTAACCTGTTGAAATCTTCTTGGGCGGTTGTTAATTTATATGAGTGTAAGTAGAACTTTCGTGGAGATGGACCAACAGTGTTGAGCTCAACTAAGTCCATCATGCGTTGGGTCATCACTCCCCGCCCCAGTTCGAAGGCAGGGGCAGCTGGGGAAATCATAGCCCAATACCGAGAGACGCTTTGAGGGTGTAATAATTTAAGTATTTTGTCATGGAGAACAAGACCTATGAATTTTCTTTAAATGTAGTTTTCTTGGCCCCTCGCATATTGAGAGGTACATGCATGTAGGCCCTTTAGAGTCATAGTACTGCTGCTAGTGGCTTTGACCCTACATGTAATAGACCTATTAGCTTGGCGCGCACAAAGATATCGCCCGTGATCCCATGTCCCCTCCATAAAATCTCTCAGCTCCTGTTATTCCCTCTTCTCTCCCATCAGATACCTCCTATTCTTTCTTCGCTTCTTACGGCACGCGGTATCCACTCTTCCTCGTCCCCCAGCCCCGTCATTCGCCATTGACCACCAATATCCTCGCCCCCCATCCTTCCTTTTGGGAATGTAAGCTAACGAATAAGAGACATTAGAATCGAAAGCAACCTTAAGCATCACCTCACAAAAAGTTTGGGTGCTGTTCATCCCCTCAGTATAGAGCCCCTTTTTACCGGCGCTCCCTGCTGTCTTTGCAATTGCCTTATCGAGTCATAGGATCCCCTCAGCTGCCCCGGTTGGTTGACTGATGGCCGGATGAGCTCCCATTTATATAAGGTTAATACGGGAGGGAAAACAATGAAATCCAATTTTATCACCAGAGAAAAAGGTCAGCCTTCTTTAAGGGTGACATATCTTCCTAGCCTTTGCTTTGATTTAGGACAATCTCTAAACACTTCCTCGGCGGCTGCGCCAAGGGGGGCAGATTCGGGGCTACTTAACTCGACGAACAGCCGAGTGATATCTCATGAATCAGGCTGGACTAGCTGCTGTCGACATGACCCACCAAAACGGGAGGAGATGGTTTATAAATCTATTTAAGCAATTCTCAGATTTCTAAACAGCGTATCCTATGGCAAATTGTATGCAGGCCATGCTGTTCGAGCTTGCGGGGCTTTCAGGTGTTTTAAGAGGACGCTATATGGGGCGAGTTGGGCCTGGGGTTTCACATCCTCGAGTCCTTGACTATCATGTCGGCTTGACGACTACTCCCGGCTAGAAACCGTTGCTAAGGATCACTTAATGTCTATTGTTTCCATAGGTTCTACCAGATGGGTTTAGACACGAGTGATAAGTTATGATTACAGCAAAATCCTGACGATACCCCGTGTCAACACACAATCGAGTATACGTGCGGGTATAAGTCATAATACAGGCCAATTGTTATTGGAACCTTGTTCGGCCCTATATGCCTTTTCTTTGAACGGTTTCCATTAAGATGACACGGCTGTATCGATAATTTCGATCATTTATGACTCAGGGCTAAACCTAAAAGGGTTCGCATCATTCGGACATGGATTATCATTCGGATTTAGCTGCAGCTTCTTCCTAATCGGATAGATAGAGCAGCTACGGAATGGCAATTATATAGGCCATATAGATGGGAATTCCCCCGGCTCGAGACATATGCTTGAACGAGTAATTTATTACGGACAACCCCTAAACAACGAAAAGCGACTTTTAAATACATTTTATTACCAATAGTTACGGTATCAAATATAGTTTTTGATCTAAGAAAAGAGGGCTACAAAAGCCGAGAAATTAAGAAAGCCCCGGCCTAGACATCTATATGCAAAACAAAGCAAATATAAAGAAATAAAGAAATAGAGAGGCATAAAAGCCAACTATCATACTTTTCGTCGTCGTCATAGTCATGATTATTGCACAGCATTATTACTGGTGGCATCACTATAAAAACCAAAACAAACACAATAAGTCACCAAGTTAAGCCAAAATAAAAAGCACTAACGAAGAACGGATGAAAGCAGCAAAGGGAACAAAATGTCAACCGCACCCAGGCGAGATCCCAACTGGAGACGGTATCCTCACAGGTACCCCGCGTCCAGCAAGTATTGAATATCCTGGTAGTCTAGATCTGTTCTGCTCAAACTCGGGAGGAGCTATAGAGCGTGGGGTAAAGAATTCGTCGATATTTTGATTGACTACTGTAAGGACTGGCGAGGAAGGAGTAGCAGGGTGTGAGATTTGCAATGGGAGTTTCAGCGAGACGGAAGGGCTGGTATGAGTAGATGCTTGTACGGATATGGAAAGATCGAGTGTATAAGAGCGCGACATAAGACAAGATGTAAAGCTTGGAACAAGCTCATTACATTTCGGAGCAGTAATGGGGACTAGAACGGTTGTTTTATATGTTGTCGCTGGACCAGGTTCTAATGGTTGTTTAACCCATTTGGCACCCTCCATACACCTTGATGATAGTAGTAGTGATTCGCCATAATATCCTACTGACGGGTCTGCGTTTTTGGAGCTTGGTCCCGGAATATAACTAAGTTGGGATGTTGAATAGAAGGTCAACACCTTCAACTTTGCTGTCAAACTCCCTAGTTTTGGCGGCTCTAGCGCTTCATCTGCAGGGGTGAACCAGAGTGACACTGGCACCATAGTTGTCGCTGGACATAGTGAGTCTTTCGATAGCCGCAATGACCTAGGCTGCTCGGCCTCCACTGTCAAGCGTCCCATTTTCCCCTTGAAAAGTCCCTTTTTGATATCCTTCTCCGCACGCATCACATACTCGCCCGGGTGGTCTTCTATATGTACTGGCGGAAGCTCCTCCACGATTGGGAGGATCCGCACTCTCCGAAACGTATCTCCGAGTGAAACAGCTTTTCCGTCCGACTCCCGGCGGCGCACCAACTTGGCTTGGATGTAATAAGATACTAGAGTCATGTCCGGAAACAAATCATCAGCCAGGCACCCCTGGTCTGTTGCAAGAGAGGGGTCGCCAGCAGAAGGGGGTAGTTGGAGATGCGCATCTCGGACTGAGTCGTTTTTGAGCGTGTGTGTACAGGCCGTTGGGAGGAGGCGGTCGGGAATGACAAAGGTGAATGGGAGTGTATATTTTCTTCCCCTTTCTAAGATGCGGGGATGCGGTAGCAAGGTTTCATCCATGGGCTGGGTCAGCTTGAGAAACTGTGGGGTGATTTCTTGTTAAAAATGTCATTGACTATGGTTGATAGGTGGTGATGAACATACTGTGATTGTGGAAGAAGTTCGGCCCGATGTTGCGGGTATGGCCCCCATTCTATCCATCCATGTCCGTTGTTTCCCTGTACACCTGTCAGCTTCGCTTCACCTCACCCCCAACACGCTGTGGGGTAGAAGGGATGTTACCTTCAAATGTAATCTGGACATCATCGAACCGAATATCTGCTGTAGTTGCAATAATAGTCACCTCTCCCTTAATAGTGTCTAATGTCGAGTATGATTTCAACCCTCCATTATACTGGGAGGGTTCTTCGCCTTGGACAATTATAGTGATTTGTGGTTTGCCTACTTGCATTGCAGACCGCATGGAACTCACGACTGAGTTCCTAGTCGCTATGGAGGATGCGCTACTGAGCATCCTGAAAAGCAGGATTCGCTAAATTGATCGGGTTTCAGATGTAACTGTTGATCGACAAGTTGGAATGTGACTGGATAGGAATGTGCAGGCGTCTTTATATCGTACGATAACTATAGAAGGAACAAAGAACCCCAACGGGTGTGTTGCAACGAAGTATGTATAGAGGTCGCCAACTTAACGTCTGTTTTCTATATATTCAGGTAGAAAAAGAGCTCTTGATGCTGGATTATATGTTATTTTGAAAGCAATTGATGTGTGACGTATAGATAGGTATTGGCGTGGTATACGAGGAGATAAATTTGGGAGTTGATTGATATATAAACGCCGGGAATCGAGTAACGATACTCTGTTATCTGTTGATTTTCTTGGTCTTCTTAGGCTGGAACATTGTGGGCTTTATATTCAAAATACCAGTGCGTCGGATTCTCGTGGTGGATGGGTACAAATGACTGACTCACGCAATAGTAGCATCGGATTTCTCTCTTTCACTACTCTAGGAGAAACGATTATCTAAGATTTTCCACGCCTCGATGTAGGCTAGGACGATGTGCGTCATGCAGCTAGCTAACAGTAGGTACCAATGTCGGAAATGCAATGCCATCTTTTCTCTAACGTTTTCGACCCAGTACTGTGTCAGACCTAGAAGTGTGTCGCATGGCAACGGCACCAAAACCAGACACAAAGCCCCCAAAAAGAAAGA